TATAGTCCCTTATGTACATAGCTTTTTTTCTTTCTTGAGAATTCATCTTGAGTTATCTTTTATTTAGATAAAAATAAAGAGGCAAGGGTCTACTGTCATTTGTATACAATTCCTGTTACCTTGAAAAAATAAAACTGTTAACAGGAATGCAGTGTGCTCATTATCCCTAACTAGCAAATCCCACTGTATACAAAGCTGTTCTCTTGTTCTGCCTTTTAAATGTACATGTAGAAATTTACATTAAGGATCTATAGGAATAGCTCTAGGGGGGAACAAATGTGCTTAATGTAAAAAGGCAGACAGGGATGTAATTACGTTTTTAATGTTTCAGAAGCCTAACTTTTTACACAGCAGTTACATTTCACGTTTAACTAATGTTGATACTTGGCTAATGGTTTAGCAGATTCTGGAGTACACATTTAGTGTATGGAAATTCAAGACAGCTAAAGGGCTGTTTGATTAACATCTCATCTTGCATCGTGATCAATTGGCAAGAAAAGGAGTTTTCAAGATTACATTTCTGGATGGTATCTTTTCAATTAATGTATCTGTAAAAGTTTCTTTGTAAATATTATGTGTTCTGGTGTGTCTAAGATTCCAAACAAAATGATCCCTGCATTTCCTCAAGATGTTTAGTGACAGTCTGGTAAGCAAAGCAGTCTGAGCAAGAAATAGGAAATGCAGAAATAGGTTTTGTCTGGTTGCATATAATCTTTGCTCTTTTTAAGCTCTGTGAGCTCTGAAATATATTTTTGGGTTACTTCAGTGTGTTTGACAAGACAGCTTGATATTTCTATCAAACAAATGACTTTCATATTGCAACAACCTTTGTAAGAACCACTCAAATAAAATTCTCTTAAAAAGGCCACAAGAAATCTTTATTTTTGAAGTGTTTTAAAGTCATAGAAACTCGAAAGTAGAATATTAGTTTCTTTGACTTTTAGTAGTATTCAAGACTTGCTTCTTGGGGAAAATTCTTAGTGTGCAGAGTCTGGGAAGACTGTTGCCCTCAAGTTGTCTCTCTATATTCCTCCATTTCACTATATCTTAGCACTGTACTTACTAGGGTAATGTATCAAAATCTTAGGGATTTTTCTAACAAAACCAAACAAATCCACCTAGGCCTTAAACCTGGGTTGTTTTGGGGTTTTTTTTTAAGGTTTTATTTATATTTGAGAGCAAGAGCACATGAGAGAGGGGGGAGGGTCAGAGGGAGAAGCAGGCTCCCTGCCGAGCAGGGAGCCCGATGCGGGACTAGATCCAGGGACTCCAGGATCATGACCTGAGCCGAAGGCAGTCGCTTAACCAACTGAGCCACCCAGGAGCCCAAACCTGGTGTTTTGTTTTTTTTTATGGCATCTCTGAAAAATGTTTTAACTACTTAAATACCAGAAAAATGGTTTAAGTTGAAGCATTTAACTGCCCAAATTGATTTAGCCGCATTTGTTACTTTATTAAGAAATTTGAGCTTTAATTGCATTTGGGCAATGAGTCATTTATATTCTGAACTCTGCTTCAAGTTTTTGTATCTACCTTGAACCTTTGAGTAGGCACTGTTGCTCCTACTGGAATGGTTAACTTCCAGTATTGACTTTCTCACCTCTTTCTTTCTACTCTTTCTTAGTGTTAAGGCACAAATTTTATAGGTTTATTCATATGTCAGAATATTTAGTCAGTTGAATTTGGACGCATTTTTTATGCCAACCCTTTTGATGGATCGTTAAAATTCCTTAATTACTTCAGTTACTGAACCTAAAAAAAATTTTCAAGATTTGAGTTTATTTTTCAGCAATAGGCAGCAGTGTTCTTTGGGGCAGACTTAATGTCAGCATTTTTTCTTTCCAGAATATCTCCTAGTATCTTCGTAATTAAATTTATTTATTTAAAGGATTTTTATTTGACAGAGACACAGTGACAGCAGGAACACAAGCAGGAGGGGCAGTGGGTGAGGGAGAAGCAGGCTTTCTGCGGAGCAGGGAGCCTGATGCGGGGCTCCATCCCAGAACCCTGGGATCATGACCTGAGCCAAAGGCGACACTCAACAAATGAGCCACCCAGGCGCCACTAAATTTTTTATTCTTTTTTTTTTTTTAAAGATTTTATTTATTTATTAGAGAGCACATGAGAGGGGGGAGGGTCAGAGGGAGAAGCAGACCCCCTGCTGAGCAGGGAGCCTGATGCGGGACTCGATCCAGGGACTCCAGGATCATGACCTGAGCCAAAGGCAGTCGCTTAACCAACTGAGCCACCCAGGCGCCCTAAATTTTTTATTCTTGGTAAGTGTCCTATCTGCTTTGTTCTGTCATTTTCCAGTGAGCTGGGTCAGCATAGGTGGATGTTAAAAAGAGGTGGCAAAAGAAAAGTAAAAATTTCCCCACTGCCACAATGAAATTTGGGTTGTAAATGGTATTAAAGCAAATGTAGTACAAGTAATTTGAATAGTGTGACAGAAAATAATTCAAATGAATTCTCAGTGAATCTTACAGGTAATCCATCCTGAGAGAACATCCCACTCTGGGAAATCTAGCTGTTGTAGCTATTCTGGTAGTGTCCTCATGACCCCCCAAATATGCCAGTGTAGTTTATGTCCATCGTAACATTACCATTTTCCTTGAGGGGCAATGCAGTTTATAGCACAATCTGTCAAGGGCTGTGTGGCCAGAGTAGGGGAGAGGTACTTGTCCTTACTACAAGGAACCTACCTTCGGAACCCAATTAACAGAATTGTGTGTATATGGGGGGTGGGTCATTTTATACAACTGACATCCTCATGGATGGCTGGTTAGAAAATTGGGAGGTTTATGCCATTAAGCTATATTGTGTCAGTTTGAATTTGTTTCCCGGTGGAGGGTTTTGTTCTTTTTCTTCTTAAGTCTGCACAAAATCTGAAGGACAATGAACATACCTTTGGAAATGAGCCTTGGGTTAACACTACCTTTTGCAGTGCAACTTTGAGGAAATCTAGACTTAGTTCTTCACCTTTAAAATGGTAAGAACAGCATCAACCTTATGGGGTTGAATAACAAGAGTTTATTAGAATCTACAAAAAGTTCCAGGCATGGAAAATTTTTCTAACTTTGGATTTACCAAAGACAGGATTTGAGAAACAGACCCCAAACCTACTCATTGGCCCATCTCAGCAGCTTTCTCTAAGCTGGGTATAGGCAGAAGAAAAAATGCCTTTAACACACTCCGACTACTCAAAGACTTGTTTTATTATAGTACATGAGCTGGGACTGATGGGAAGGAGTAGCTGTACTGGGCAACCACTGCCCTTATCAGCATCGGATGCCCATCCCGATGGCCATGAATGTGCCAAATGTGCCGCCACTCTGCATCATGGTTTTCCCGATGCCGCCCATCAGCTCCCGACCCCGCATTCCGATCCTAAGAGAGGAGGAAATGAGTATGGAGCCAACTGGGAATAAATGGGAATAAAAATACAAGAAACGGCATTAACTGCCCTTTTCCAATTTGTTTTCAAAGTAAATCAAGCACTCTTGAAGTTGGGCAAGACATTATTCCCACCCGAGGCAGGTAATGACAAGGAAAAAGATGCATCAAGGTCTCTAGGGGTATTCTAATGAATATCCTATGACCTGCCTTCAGTTTGTGAGAGGCAACTGATGCAAAGTATATAGTGAAACTAGTTTTTTGTTTTGCTTTTACCTCCAGGATATATATACATACACACACACCCATAGGCTCCAATTTGTCTGATGGTTTCCTGGTGTTAAAGGAATGATTGTGGAGTCAGATCTGTGTTCGTGCCCCAGCTCTGCAATTTACAGGTTGTGCTAACTAAAATGGGGATCATAACCACAGGAGAACACATGCAGCATTTAGAACAGTGATTCACACTGGGTAAGTGCTCAGTAAATGGTAACTTACATTGTGGAAAAATGGGAATAATCTCTACTATACGTGAAAATGACATTTAAGATGTAGAGTTTATCTGCTCGGTATCTATACCTTGTTTGCAGTACAGTAAAATTGCTCAACTTTGTTTCACTATGCACAACTGGAAATAACAGCAGCGACAGCAGCAACAACCATTTATTGAGCACTTAATAATGCCACATTCTGTCCTAAGTTTGCTCTGATTTGATCCTTACAACTCTATGAGGTAGATGTTACCTCTTTCTACTCTTAAGAAAACCCAAACTATAACGTGGTTAAGGTTACAGGAGTAGAGTCAGATTTTCTGACATTCAGTTTGAGTCAGAACTCGTATTCTCAAGCGCCGAGGCAAGGTGAGTAGGAAATCATTCTCGCTCGTTAAAGGACAGCGAGGGAATTGAAACGAAGTAGACTCTATCCAGGCTGCCCGGCCAAGTGGCGCGGGACGGGAAGGTCCGGTAGTCCCGCCCAGAGATCACCGCCCGCGCCCCTCACCTGAGACAGGAAAAGGTGCCGAAGAGCGCCCCGGCCGCCATGCCCACTGCGCAGCCCATCACAAAGCCCATCTTCACGCGGTCGAAGCAGCTCGGCTGAGACTGTCCGTAGGGCCCCACGGCCACCGGCATCTGCGGGGTTCGAAGGTTAGGGGAGTGTGGGCCTAGCCGCCTGCCCGAGTCGGGCGGGGGCCGGAGGAGGAGGGGTGGGGAGCGGATCCAAGGGTTCGGGGAAGTCCAGAGAGGAAAATAAACACGTAGCCCGACTCCATCACCCTCTTAGCGTTCGGGTCCCCGCGCCGCGGTACCCCTCACCTCACCTCGTTCGCGGCTTCGGTCGCTCAACTCTACGTCTCACACAAAACGCGAGGCGGAGCGCGCCCGCGGAGGGAGGAATTGTTTCCGGGGCACGGAGCAGAACTTCCGGGAGCGCGTAGCTGAGGACTGCCGCCGCTTCGGGTGGGGGGCTTTGCCTGCGGGACCATGCTGCTGCGAACCGCTTGGAGGCGGGTGCCCGCGGCTGTGCGGGTCGCTCCGGGGCCCAAGTCTGTTGCGCCCACTCGGGGGCTGCGCCTGCGCGGTACGCTCCGGGCCCTGCTCGTCGCCACCGTCCCTGCAGGCGCGGACCTTCCCCCTTGGCGTGGCGACGCACCTGAGTATTACGGAGCCTCCCTCTTACGCCCATTACCCAGACCCCCTGACCCTGCCTTCTGGCTGCACCCCTCAAACTTCCTCAGGCTCGCGCTCAGACTCGTTGACTTCGCCGCGTCGCCCTTCAGATCCTGCCCCACAGGCCCTCGGATCCTTGGAAGCTCGGTCGGCCTTCAGACCTCTCCTGGCCAACTTTAAGAGATGCTGGTCGTCCAGCCACTAATCTTTGACGGAGATCTTACCTACTCTGTCTCCTTAGTCCTTGTAAATGGCTTTGCCCTTTCGGATCCCTCCCAGCTCCCAACGAAGCAATTCGAATATTGTCCCAACATCCTCCTCCCAGATCATGGTCTGTCTCCCTTCCTTTTACAGTTTAAGTTCCGTGATGTTTTGTTTTCTTTTCCACTGAGCTTCAACCCCAGCATCCTTTCAGCTCATCTCCCCTTCATCCAGCTTTCACCTTCTGCTGTCTTGGATTCCCTGTATCCATAGGTTTTCTCACGCTTGGCCACTCCATACCTTTTTTTTTTTTTTTTGTCAGCTGTAGACCATTTTCCTCAGCCGGCTGTTCCCTCAGATACAGCCACTGCCCCGCAGGCGGAGTCAATGCTGCGACCTCTGTATATGGATGTGCAAGCTACAACTCCTCTGGTAAGGATGGAGGAACAGCTTTCCCCAATGCTGTTTATAACAGTTATATTGCAGAAGTGACAATGCACAGAAATGACTGGATCCTGCAGAAGTGAGAGCCATTTCGAAGTGTGTGTTGGGAAAAGCAATGAGCCAGAAGTCAGGAGGTTTAAGTTGTAATAAACTAGAAATGGCTCTACTACTTACTAGCTATTGACCTTGGTGAAATCACTTCAGTGTAGGCACTATAGTAGGAATAAAAGCATAGGCTCTGGAATTAGCTGGATTGCTACTTACTATGTGAATTTGGATAGGTATTAAATAGATTAAAAGACATAAAGCAACCCTTTAAACAGAACCTGGCACATGATAAGCACTTCAATATTAGTGGAAGATTTCATCAACATGGGGACTCTTGTCATATCCTGGCCCTTATAGATCCCATCACCTGGTAGGAATGGAAACACGTGCAGAAACAGCTGTCAGGACAAGGCAAAGTTTGTAGATTACCTGAGGAGATGGTAGAATAATCATCTGGTAGAATAATTAAAGGTGGATTGAGAGTGGGAGTATATTAGGCTGATATTTGTTTAGTACCTGAGGGGATGGAAGAATGTTTGAAGCTCAATCTAGGCAGTGTGTGAAGGGTTGGGAGTGTGTTGAGGCAGGTTGGGCAAGTCTGAGGGGATGGAGTGGGGCCTGAGTGATCTATGGACTCAAGGAGACTGATCTGTTCTCTTGTGCTCAGGACCCTCGGGTGCTTGATGCCATGCTCCCTTACCTAGTCAACTACTATGGGAACCCACACTCCCGGACACATGCTTATGGCTGGGAGAGTGAGGCAGCCATGGAACATGCTCGCCAGGTTAGTATAGAAGACTCTAGGAGGTTCTGATGTCAGAGGTTCGGTGGACTGTGGGAGGCATTTCCTGGATAGCTCTGGGTGGAGATGGAAGTGGTTTGGGGCTCTTTCAGAAAGAGATTTAGAGAGCAGGCCTGGGAGTCTCTCTGAAGGCATTTTATTAGTTTTTACATTTCCTAACTAAATGAACTTTGGAATGTTATCTAATTTCTCTAAGCCTCAATTTCCACACATTGAAAATGGAGATTGTAAAAGTTCCTATTCCTTAGGGTTTTTGTGTGGATTCAATGAGATACTGCTGATGATGTGTTTATTAACACATGCTTATACATACTAAGAGCTCAGTAAGTGCTTTTTATTTTATTATTTTATTTTATTTATTTTTTAAGTAGGTTTCACGCCTAGCATGGAGCCCGATGTAGGGCTTGAACTCATGACCCTGAGATCAAGACTTGAGCTGAGTGAGATCAAGACTCAGTTGCTTAACTGACTGAGCCACCCAGGTACCCCTCAATAAGTGCTTTCTAAAAAGCCAGTGTTGTGGGGCGCCTGGGTGGCTCAGTTGGTTGAACATCAGATTCATGATTTCGACTCTGGTCAGGATGTCAGGGTTGTGAGATGGAGCCCCATGTTGGGCTCCACACTCAGCCACGCTCAGTGGGGAGTCTGCTTGAGATTCTCTCTCCCTCTTCTTCTGCCCCTCCCTCCGCTCACGCTCACTCACTTGCGAGCACTCTCTCTCTCTCAAATAAATAAATACATCTTAAATAAATAAATACATACAAGCATAAATAAAAAGCCAATATTGGGGCACCTGACTGGCTCAGTCAGTAGAGCATGTGGTTCTTGATCTCCGGGTTGTGAGTTTGAATGCTGCGCTGGGTGTAGAGATTACTTAAAAATAAAATCTTTGGGGAGCCTGGGTGGCTCAGTCAGTTAAGCTTCTGCCTTCTGCTCAGGTCATGATCCCAGCGTCCTACTTATTTTTTTTAGATTTTATTTATTTATTTGACAGAGAGAGACACAGTGAGAGAGGGAACACAAGCAGGGGGAGTGGGAGAGGGAGAAGCAGGCTTCCTGTTTACAGAGAGCCCGATGTGGGGCTCGATCCCAGGACCCTGGGATCATGACCCGAGCCGAAGGCAGACGCCCCGCCAGGGTCCTACTTAGTGGGGAGTCTGCTTCTCCCTTTCCCTCTGCCCCTGTTCCTGTTCATGTTCTCTCTCTCAAATAAATAAAATCTGTAAAAAAAATAAAATAAAATCTTTAAAAAATAAATAACCATTATTATTATTTTGTATTAGGCAGGGAAAGAGCCTCAGATCTGGGATGGAACTAAATCTACCCATTGTCTGACCCTAGTGGGTGCACAGCTTCTTCCTGGGCAGTTGATAGGATGCAGTGGAGCTTTTTTTGAACCAGAGCTCCTGTCCCAGCTGTGTCTGCAGTTGCACTCCTGCCTGGGAAACTGATGTCATTTATCTCTGTTTCTTGGTTTGCAGCAAGTAGCATCTCTGATTGGGGCTGATCCTCGTGAGATCATTTTCACTAGTGGCGCTACTGAATCTAACAACATAGCAATTAAGGTAAGAGAACCAGAGGGCATATCTGGGCTTTCCTGACTTGGGAGATGGTGTCCCTCCATCATTTGGGCTCATAAATGTATTTCCCAGCTACCCACCCCTACCCTATTTTGAAAAAAGACACAGGCAAACATACGCTTTTTCTGATTTGTTGCTTCCTTCAATCCTCTGTGATCTACTCCACCTTAAATCTTTGTTCCTGTTGAACTAAGTTTAGTGAGGTAGTCGGATGTGAAAGGAGGTGGCTCTTTAACCATTAACCCTGGTGTTATGGGTGGAAGCTACTTCAGGGAGTGGATAATGGTGACTCAACCCTTTTCCTCATCCTTTTTTTCTTTTAAGATTTTATTTTATTTATTTTTAAAGATTTTATTTATTCATTTGAGACACAGATACAGAGAGAGAGAGAGCATGAGCAGGGGAAGAGGCAGAGGGAGAGGGAGAAGCAGGCTCCCTGCTGAGCCAGGAGCCCAATGTGGGGCTCGATCTCAGGACCCTGGGATCATGACCTGAGCTGAAGGCAGACACTTAACCATCTGAGCCACCCAGGCACCCCTAAAATTTTATTTTTTTTAAGTAATTTTTATATGCAATGTGGGTCTCCCACTCACAACCCCCAGATCAAGAGTCACACGCTCTACTGACTGAGCCAGCCAGGTGCCCCTTCACCATCCTTTTGATCTAATCACAGTGAAGTCCAAAATCCATTTGCAATTGGGCATGCTTCTCTGCTTCTGGTTACCAGCTTTACACTTATATATGTGGTTTCAGGGCTGCCCTCCTCCCACCTTCCCTTTTCTTCTGATGAGATCTATTTGCAGCAAGTTTTTCCTGTTTCTTTTATTTTTTTAAAGTTTATTAAAAAGGGGGGTGGCGCCTGGGTGGCTCAGTTAGTTAAGCAACCACCTTCAGCTCAGGTCATGATCCTGGGGTCCTGGGATCGAGCCCCACATTGGGCTCCCTGCTCGGCCGGAACCCTGCTTCTCACTCTCCCACTCCCCCTGCTTGTGTTCCCTTTCTCGCTGTCTCTCTCTCTCTCTGTCAATTAAATAAATAAATAAAATCTTAAAAAATATATATATATATTTATTTTAGAAGGGGGAGGGGCAGAGGGAGAGTAAGTCCCAAGCTGACTCCATGCTGAGCGCAGAGCCCAGCACAGGGCTCAATCCCATGATTCAGAGATCATGACCTGAGCTGAAACCAAGAGTCCAACCAAGAGTACAACGTTTAACTGACTGTGCCACCCAGGCACCCCTTTTAAAAAAATTTTAATTTGTGAAAGATTTTGTGTGTGTGTGTGTGTGTGTATATATATATATATATAATTTTTTTTTTTTTTTTTTTTTAGAGAGAGCACGCACAAATGGGAGGTGGTAAAGGAAGGGCAGAGGAAGAGGAGAGAGAGACTCTCAAGCAGGCTCCGTGCCCAGCCTGAAACCCAATGCAGGGCTTAATCTCACAACCCTGAAATCATGACCTGCGCCATAATCAAGAGTTGGTTGCTTAACCAAGGGGCGCCTGGGTGGCTCAGTCAGTTAAGTGGCTGACTCTTGATTTCGGCTCAGGTCATGGATCTCTGGGTCCTTGGATTGAACCCCATTTTAGGCTCCCCACTCAGCAGGGGTCTGCTTGAGGATTCTCTCTCCCTCTGCCCCTCTCCACACTTGCTTGTGCTCTCTCTCTAAAATAAATTAATAATTTTTTTTTTAAGATTTTATTTATTTATTTGACAGAGAGAGACACAGTGAGAGAGAGAACACAAGCAGGGGGAGTGGGAGAGGGAGAGGCAGGCTTCCCGCTGAGCAGGGAGCCCGATGTGGGGCTTGATCCCAGGATCCTGGGATCATGACCTGAGCCAAAGGCAGATGGTTAACCATCTGAGCCACCCAGATGCCCCAAACTTTATAATTTTTAATATAACTACCTTCTTTTTCATGGAGTTGTGTTATCATACTTTACTATTCATATTTCTGTTGTTGGATGTGTTTAATCTTTCCTTTTTTAAAAAATTTAAATTCAATTAGCAGTAATCTTTCCATTTTTTTTTAACGATTGTAAATACAGCAAAAACATATTTCATCTCTATAGCTTGACCTGTCTTTTGAAATATTTCCCTAAGGTAAATCCTGAAATGAGGAATCACAGTTAAAGACTGTGAATACAGCTTTTAAGACATCTTTCTAGGGGCGCCTGGGTGGTTCAGTTGGTTAAGTGACTGCCTTCAGCTCAGGTCATGATCTCAGGGTCCTGGGATCGAGCTCCGCATTGGACTCCCTGCTCGGCGGGAAGCCTGCTTCTCCCTCTGACCCTCTCCCTGCTTGTGTTCCCTCTCTCGCTGTCTCTCTCTCTCTCTGTCAAATAAATAAATAAATAAATCTTTAAAAAAAAAAAAAAGACATCTTTCTAAATGATTTTCTGAAGAGATGATAGCATAATTACTTCCATCAGCAAGGAATGAGTATATGAGTTTTACTTCTACACTGGCAGCTTTGGGTATCAGTGTCACCATATTTGCATGTTTTACTATTAAGTGGAAATAAAGAGAGAAGCTTTTTCCTGGGATGCAAGGATAGGCATGTTCCCTATTTTCTACCTGTGGTATCATAAAAAATATATTTTTTTATATAAAAATTCCTGGCACAGAGCCTCAAAAATCCTTGGATTTCCTGAATAATAGAAGTGTCTTTTGTTATTCATAACAAACCTCTTTGGACCTTCTGAATTTATGGTAATGAAGTGACTCATGTGGACTCTTGGTTGCAAGGGACTGGCTGGCTGCTCCAGAAGAACAAAGCTTGTGATTAGAGGGTTGGAACTCTCAGCCCTACTTCCCTCAGGGCAGGAGAGGGGAACCAGAGATTGAGTTCAGTCCTGTGGCCAGTGATTCAATCAGTCATGCCTCGGTAATGAAACCCCCATAAAAACTCCAGACAGTAAGGCTCAGAGGATCCTCCAGGTTGGTGAACTCATGGATGCGCTGGGCAGGTGGCATGCCTAGATTCACAAAGACAGGACATGGAAACTTTGTGCCCATCCCCTCCTCAGGCCTCGCCCTATGCATCTCTTCCATTTGGCTGTTCCAGAATTGTATCCTTTATAATAAAACTGTAATAGTGTAGTGCTTTCAGCGAGTTCTGAGAGTCATTTAGGTGAATTATTGAACCTTAGGGGGCTGTGGGAAGTCCAAAATTTGTAGCCAGCTGGGCGAAAGTACTGGAGGCTGGCTTGTGACACCTGGGCCTTGTGGCTGACATCTGAAGTGGGGTTAGTCTTGTGGGACTGAGCCCCTTAATCTGCAGGATTTGAATAATTCACGGTAGTTAATGTCAGAATTGTTGATTGTAGTACATTGGTGTCACAGAATTGATGTTGGAACATATAACTCTTTCCCACTTTTTCTTTCAAGTGGGATTGAAGTCCTTGCTGTTTCTCCTGAGTATACCTTCCTTCCTTCCACCACCACCAATTTTTAGGGGGTGGCCAGGTTCTATAGGTCACGGAAAAAGCACTTGATCACCACTCAGACAGAGCACAAATGTGTTTTGGATTCCTGCCGTTCACTGGAAGCTGAGGGCTTTCAGGTCACATACCTCCCGGTGAAGAAGAGTGGGATCATCGACCTGAAGGTAGGAGGGGCAAAATAGGAGGGGCTTGACTTCAGCCTGTAAATCTGTCTTCAGCCTCAGCTGGAGCTTTGAAGGACTAGATCTAATGGTGAGGGGGAGCTTAGAGAAATAGGCCTGGGAGAGAAGCTGAGCATATGTTCCCCCTGAGTGTGCACTATCTTCTTTTTCTCTGGAGGAGTTTTTCTCAGCTTTGTCAGTGCTTCCTGGTTTGTCTGAGGGCCACTGGGTGTGTGTGCAGGATACTAGGGATTCAACACTCACCATGGAAAAGCTCTGGCTTCTTCCTCCCCTGTACTGATGTTTCTCATCCCTCTAAAGAGGAGGTGTAGTTTTTGTGAAGAATATTTCCTTTGTGGCCCATATCCTTATATGTATATTTTGGGTAGGGAGTTCACGCATCTTGTTCACCAGATTTTGGATACCAGCATCCCTAGTCAAATCCTAAGATACAATTTGTGGACAGAGCCGTGTTATATGCAAGTAGAGATCATTTTACTTCATTTCCAACCTGGATGCCTTTATTTATTTATTTTTTCTTGCCCAATTGCCTGGCAGGAGCTTCTAGTACAAAGTTGAATAGAAGTGGTGAGAACAGGGCGCCTGGGTGGCTCAGTCGGTTGGGCGACTGCCTTCGGCTCAGGTCATGATCCCAGGGTCCTGGGATCGAGTCCCACATCGGGCTCCCTGCTCTGTGTGGAGCCTGCTTCTCCCTCTCCCACTCCCCCTGCTTGTGTTCCCTCTCTCGCTGTGTTTCTCCCTGTCAAATAAATAAATAAAATGTTTAAAAAAAAAAAAAAAGTGGTGAGAACAGACACCCTCATTTTGTTCCTGATCTTGGGTGAAAGATTTCCTCATTAAGTATGATGTTAACTGGATTTTTCATAGCCGTTCTTGCATAAATGTCCTTTATTAGATTGAAGAAGTTCTCCTCCAAGTCTGTTGATTTTTTTTTGTTGTTATCATGAATGCATTTTGGTTTTATCAGTTGGTTTTTTGTGTTTTTTGAGATAGCCATGGGGTTTTGTTCTCTATTAATATGGTTTATACATTGATTGATAGGTTGCTGGATTTGGTTTGCTAGTGTTTTTTTGTTTTGTTTGTTTTTTAAAGATTTTATTTATTTAAGAGAGAGAGAGAGCAAGGGCAGGTGGGAGAGGGAGAAGCAGGCTCCACGCTGAGCAGGGAGCCCAGTGTGGGGCTCAAACCCAGGACCCTGGGATCATGACCTGAGCCGAAGGCAGATACTTAAATGACTGAGCCACTCAGGCGCCCATTCTCTCCCTCTTAACCACTTAGCTCAAGTTCAGCTCTTTGGTGAAATCATTTTGGCTGCCCCAACCCCTATTAATATCTTTTTTCTCTAAATTCCTTAAATTCCTATTGTTTTTTACTGCTGTGCTCTGTTATATGTTTATGTCTATCTCTCCACTAGATTAAGTCTCTTGAATACTAGGAGCATGTATTTTTTGGCTTTTTATTTCTCGTAATACTTAACATTTGCTTTTCTTTCACCTTATAGTATTTATTCCATAGAGCTTGGCACTAGGGATAGCGGGATGAACAAGACAAGCTTAGTCCCTGCCTTCAGGGAGCTTACATTCTAGTAAAGGGGACAGTTAACATATAAACAAACATATAAATGAAGTAGTTACAAATTGGAATAAATGCTATGAAGGAAGCAAACAAGAAGCTGAGAGAAATATGACATTGAGCCCCTCTAGTAGACCAATGTCCAGGAAAGCAAGATGTTGGGAGGCTGATTAATAATTCCATTATGAGAAACATTTTAGTCCAATGAGGTCCCTACCTCAGTGTTGTCACCAATAACCTTGTTTTTTGCTACTTACTTTGTTGTTTGCAGCTTACTCTGACAACCTTATGTAGGAAAGGTTCTCTCTCTCTTTTTTTATTAAACTTTTAATTTTTAAATAATTGTAGATTCACATGTGGTTGTGAGAAATAGTACAGAAGATCTCATGTACCCTTTACCCATTGTCCCCCATGGTAATATCTTGAAAAAGTATAGTACAATAGCACAACCAGGTATTGACATCGACACAGTCTGCCAATCTTATTCTCATTTCCCCAGTTTTACCTCTACTCACTCATCACACATAGGTTTGTGTAACTACCACCACAATCAAATTAGTTTTATCACCACAGTGATGCTTCATGTTCTTTTAAAACCACTAATTTTGGGGTGCCTGGGTGGCTCAGTCAGTTAAGTGTCTGCCCAGGGTTCTGGGATCAAGCCGTGCATTGGGCTCCCTGCTCAGCGGGAAGCCTGCTTCTCCCTCTCACACACTCCCCCTGCTTGTGTTCCCTCTCTCGCTGTGTCTCTCTCTGTCAAAAAATAAATAAAATCTTAAGAAAAACAAAAACAAAACAATACTAATTTGAACTCCATTTCTTTAATTTTGTCATTTCAATAATGTTATATAAATGGAATCATAAAGTATGTAACCTTGAGGGACTAGCTTTTTTCACTTAGCATAAGTCTTTGGCAAGTCATTTAGGTTGTTAACATGTCTCAGTAGTTTGTTCTTTCTGTTGCTGAGTCGTAGTCCATGTGGTAGAAGTACCACAGTTTAACCGTTCACCTGTTGCACGACCTCTGGGTTGGTTCTAGGTTTTGGCTGTTCTGACAAAAGCTGCTATGAACATTTATGTATAGGTTTTTTGTGTGAATCTGTTTTCATTTCTCTGAGATAAATGCCCAACAGTGCAATTACTGGGCCATATGGTAATTTCATGTTTAGTTTAGTAAGAGACAAAAACTGCCAAACTGTTTTCCAGCATGGCTATGCCATTTTACGTTCCTACTAGTAGTAATAACCAAGTGTGTGAATGATGCGGTTTCTCTGAATCCTTGCCAGTATTTTGTGTTGTCACTATTTTTATTTTAACCATACTGATAAGTGGGTGGTGAAAGGCCCCTTTCCAAGACTAAGCTTGCCTACAGTCTGAGTTAGGTAGGACTTTGTTGGTACTATATAGTCTCCTTGCTCCTGATACTCTTAGGAACTAGAGGCTGCCATCCAGCCAGATACCAGCCTGGTCTCAGTCATGACTGTGAACAATGAGATTGGAGTGAAGCAGCCCATTGCGGAAATAGGTGAGTACCATGGGTAGACCTTGATGCTTGCCCACCACTGGGGTCCATATGAGGAGCAAGAGTGGTCTAGGAGGGAGATCAAGGGAAAGGGAGTTTTAGTTCCTTGTTCAAAGACCTATTGTGTATGGCATAGCAGTATTTGAATCCAGGTCTAGTATTCTTTCTGTTCTTTTCATTTAACTGCAGTTGCTACCCCAAACAAAACACCGCCCTTTTTTCTCTTCCTCTTTCACCTTTGTCACTTTAGTACATCTCTTTATTATGCTCACTTAGAGCTCAAGACTCACCCTGTAACTCCTAAGGCACATTAGCAAATAGCTCTGCTAATCTTTGCTTCCTTTAAATTAAGAAGGATATAAAAGTTGGTCTGATATATGGAAAGGCCCGTGTTAACAAGGTAAGAAGAGTCTTACACATCAGAATATCAGGGATGTTTTGATTTGGTGATGTGTACTTGCCCTTAATTTTTCTAGTGAAGGAAACTAGCTGAGAATGACAGAGAGAGTGGGAGGAAGAGAGAAGGAAGAGAGAGAGTGAGAAGTTATTTACTGTATGGCTAAAGGCTAATGCCAGATGCAGTTTTGCCTTAGAACTCATGGTATGTTGTTGGGTCACTGCCAGGTGACTTCCCAGCATTGTGCTATGATTCTTCCCTTCTGTTGTTTCCTCAGGGCGGATTTGCAGTTCCAGAAAGGTATATTTCCATACTGATGCAGCCCAGGCTGTTGGAAAAATCCCACTTGACGTCAATGACATGAAAATTGATCTCATGAGCATCAGTGGTCATAAAATCTATGGTCCCAAAGGTACCAGCCTCTCCTGGAGTTTCTTCTCTCAGACCTCGCAGTAAACTCCTTGATAGGTGTTTCTTGAACTTATTTGGGACTATTGTTGCTCTCAGAGGAAGTTGTATAATCATAGTGTCTTGCAGAATGCAAGTGTCCTTTAGCAATAACCAAGAACACTTGCCTATTTGTAGACTCTTGCAGTTAACTGTATATAGTAGTCCATTGTTCCATGGTATCTTTAGAAAATCCTTAGAGGGGCGCCTGAGTGGCTCAGTCGTTACGTGGCTGCCTTCGGCTCAGGTCATGATCCCAGCCTACTTCTTACTCTCCCACTCCCCCTGCTTGTATTCCTTCTCTTGCTGTGTCTCTCTTTCAAATGAATAAATAAAATCTTAAAAAAAAAAAAAAAGAAAGAAAGAAAATCCTTAGAAAGCAAGTGAAGGTTAATTTGGTTGAGGAACAAAGGGTTTTATCATATCAGATTTAACTAGATAAGGCCAGCTATCTTGTCTGCCCCACTATGATATTCAGAGCAATGTGCTTTGAGTCCTCCATTCCCTGTGTCTTTCTGTAGCCTAGGGGAAGACTGGGCTTTTACATCTCTTGGTGTTTATGTCTATATTTAATGTGTTCCTGTTAGTCTCTCAAGGATACTTATCTGTTCCCTATGGTCCTCTTTGGCCCAGGATTGTTTCTTAGCTAGAATTCTTTTCACTCCAATCTTGTTTTCTATTTTATGGAGGTAGCCATAAAATTCCTCTGTCTCTGGGGTGAGGGCCTGTGGGGGTTGGTAATGCTGGTACACTTTCTATGTTCATAGGGTATGTCATTGGGGTATACACCCTGAGGAAAAAGCTGTGATAGCTGCTGGAAATATATAAGATGGCTTCTTCTCAAGGTTCCCAGAGGTTATCAAGTGTTTCTGTGAGCTTTTATTATAAAAAACACGATAGGCATTCTATCTTTAATCAATATGTTGCCTTTATTGGCTTTTATTATGGGAATACGTATTTTGACAAAACCAATTGAGCAGAAGCTCTGATCAGCATTTACATGTGTATAGGTATCTCTCACTATCCAAACTCCTGCTTTCTGAAATCAGGATTTCAGTGGATTTAGATAACATGGTATCTTTCACTATCCAGATGTGGGGTCAGAGCATGTGCTCTCTGAACTTGGGAACTGCAGAGATTCACATAGTGAGGATACTTGAATCTGATGAGGAAATGAAATATTTCTTAATTAAGTGTAGTTTGTTACATAAATTATTTCAAAACTGGGGTCCTTTGTAATAAATTTGGGGAGTACTGCCTTAGTTTTGGTAGATAGTACCTACAATCTCCGCCTAAGAAGTTGTTCTGCAACTTCTTAGTTGCAGATGGAAGAAGATGAGCTTCACCAAGTGGCCACTCTGTTTAAAACCTGTGACTACTTTGTGACTATCTTTGCACATTCATGGTCATATTTTGGCATGAAATTCCTATAAGTTGGTTTGCCAAGTCTTAAGTTATATACATTTTTTTTAAAAAAAGATTTTATTGGGGCGCCTGGGTGGCTCAGTCGTTAAGCGTCTGCCTTCAGCTCAGGTCATGATCCCAGGGTCCTGGGATCGAGCCCCGCATCAGGCTCCCTGCTCCACGGGAAGCCTGCCTCTCTCTCTCCCGCTCCCCCTGCTTGTGTTCCCTCTTTCGCTGTGTCACTCTCTGTCAAATAAACAAATAAAATCTTGGGGGAAAAAAGATTTTATTTATATTTATTTGAAAGAAAGAGAGAGACTGAGAGAGTGTGCACAAGCAGGGGGAGGAACAGAAGGAGAGGGAGATAATCTCCAGCAGACTCCTTGCTGAGTGCAGAGTCTGACATGGAGCTCAGTCCCATAACCCCGAGACCATGACCCGAGCTGAAACCAAATGTCAGACACTCATCTGACTGAGCCACTTAGGCGCCCCTTAAGTTACATACATTTTTAAGCTTTGATACACTTTGGGAGAGTGTGCTAATTAATTCCACTCTGATCTTTCTGTTTTTTCCCAAAGGTTTTTGGGTTTTTTTGTTTTGTTGTTTTTTTTTTTTAAGATTTTATTTTTACATAATCTCTACACGCAACGTGTGGCTTGAATTTATAACCCCGAGATCGAGAGTCGCATTTTCCACTGACTAAACCAGCCGGTCACCCGCCCATTTAAAAAAAAATTTATTCTGGGGGTGCCTGGGTGACTCAGTCGGTTAAGCGTCTGCCATCAGCTCGGGTCATGATCTCAGGGTCCTGGGATTGAGCCCCATGTCGGGCTCCCTGCTCAGTGGGGAGTCTGCTTCTCCTTCTCCCTCTGCCTCTTCCATTTGCTCTCTCTCTCTCTCAAATGAATAAGTAAATCTTTAAAAAAAAATTTATTCTGTTTAGACAAGGTAATATATTTACATGGTTCCAAATTCAAAAGCTACAAAAAAGTACAAGGCTGGAAAGTCTCTCACATCTTTCTACCATTAATGTAGTTCTCCTCTGGGGAGGCTGTTTTTTGAATATTTTTCTAGAATTATTCTATATGTTTACAAGCACATATATATTTCTCCTCCTACCCCTATGTTTTTACTAAAAAAATAGCATAGTATACTCATTGTCCTGCATCTTCCTTTCTTCACCTAATAATTTTTTGTTTTTAAGTACAAACTTTATTCAGATTTCACCCGTTTTCTAACAGTGTATCTTGGAAATTTTATAGTGACAGTACAGAAGGAGCTTCCTCTTTTATACACCAGCTTTGTATTTCATTGTGTGGACTATATCATAATTTATTTGCCCATTCCCCTGATGATGAATATCTGAGTTGTTTCTGATATTTTGCTCTTATGAATTAATGATACATTGCATGATGTCATTTCAGACATGCATAGGGAGCTAGTTTAAACCATTCGGTTATTACTCCTAGTACTTACCTTCCTGATGTTAAATTTTTTTTTTTTTAAGATTTTATTTATTTATTTGACAGAGACACAGCGAGAGAGGGAATACAAGCAGGGGGAGAGGGAGAGGGAGAAGCAGGCATCCCACTGAGCAGGGAGTCTGATGCGGGGCTCGATCCCAGGACGCCGGGATCATGACCTGAGCTGAAGGCAGACGCTTAACGACTGAGCCACCCAGGCACCCCAATAATTTTTCTAAATATTATGCTTTTACTGCTTTTTCTCCTTTTCCTCCATTTTTTTTTATTTTGAAGAATTTCAAGCTTACAGAAAAGTTGAAAGAATATTTTGACCCCTTTTGAAAGTGATACTTTGTTTCATCTGCATTTTTTTTCTCTTTTGTAACAAACTTTGTTTCCCAGGGGTTGGTGCCATCTACATTCGCCGCCGGCCCCGTGTGCGTGTGGAGGCCCTGCAGAGTGGAGGGGGGCAGGAGCGGGGTATGCGGTCTGGGACAGTGCCCACACCCTTGGTGGTGGGGCTGGGGGCCGCATGTGAGGTGGCCCAGCAAGAGATGGAGGTATGGGGAGGGCAATTCCCTTCTGCAACTTCTTCCCCTGTTCGGGTCTCCTATTGAGGCTTCTCAGCACAACTGAGTCAGACCTCTGCTAGAAGAGGAGGGTTAGGAAACCCATCCTTGTCCCAGTGCTGCTGGCATCTTGTTCTGAGGGAGGTGTTATGGGCTCCAAAATCCAGGTCCTTTCAGTAGTTATTGGCTCATTTATTTTTAGCTTATTGGAACCATGTGTCCAGCTATTTTTATTTTTTTTAATTTAATTTAATTTTATTATGTTAGTCACCATACACTACTTCGTTAGTTTTTGATGTAGTGTTCCATGATTCATTGTTTGCGTGTAATACCCAGTACTCCTTGCAATACGTGCCCTCCTTAATACCCACACCGGGCTAACCCATCCCCCTACCCCCTCCCCTCTAAAACCCTCAGTTTGTTTCTCAGAGTCCATAGTCTCTCATGGTTCATCTCCCCCTCCGATTTCCCCCCCTTCATTTTTACCATGTGTCCAGTTATTGAGCACCTTAGCGTGCCAGGTGCTGTACTCAGTACTGGGCATACAGTGGTCTCCATGAGTAACACAGGATGATGGGTGGGCCTGATGCACAGTCACTTCTGAGCACAGGAAAAGGGCTCCTCATCTTGTATGTTTCTGAGCTGTTAATGGTCAGTCACTATGCTTAGTCCTCCCTTGCCTGCTCCTCAGTACGACCATAAGTGGATCTCAAAGTTAGCAGAGCGGCTGACACAGAAGATAATGAAGAGCCTTCCGGACGTGGTGATGAATGGGGACCCTGAGCACCATTACCCAGGTATGGACATGCCCTTTCTATCCCCATTCTGGAAGAGCCTAAGACTTTGAACCTCCTCTTACAGTGATTCTCTCTCCAGGCTGTATCAACCTCTCCTTTGCATATGTGGAAGGGGAGAGTCTGCTGATGGCACTCAAGGATGTCGCCTTATCCTCAGGGAGGTGAGTTGGACTGGATAGACAGGAACTATGATAGGGCTCATTAGCCTGGCCCCTAAGTGGCGTAACAGATTATTAAGCTTCTTAGTGTGGAGATGACAGGCACAAGAGCTCTTGGTTAAGTGTAAAGGTCATTTTGTAAGTGCTGATTTTTTAGCTGGCTTGGCACTGGCTGAAGTTTGCCACCTTAAGAAGGCTTCCTGGGGTAGAATTTTGTGCCTTTTGTGGCCCCAGGAGATGCGTGCATCTGTTCTAGTGTTATACTAGCTGTTCTGTTGCAGACCTCCAGAATTGAAGGATGCTCCAAAGGCCACCAAAGGTTTAGCTGCCATCTAGGCCGGTACTGATGGTGTGTTCAATTGTAGGGGAGTGAGCACTTGGTTCTCTGCTGCTCCTGGTTGTCAGACGCAGCTCATGTGGTATCATGTTCTTTCATACTTTGGTAATGTCCTTGCCCAAGAAGGATATCCTCCATAAGGGCCAGAGGAGCTAGGTTCACATTCCAGAAAATGCAGGCAGCATTGGGCCCTTTAGCTCTCCCAGATTAGAATGTCTCTTTTATCTCCATGTAATGACTTCAGGGACCTGGGGGTGGGAGCAAGACTAGGGGTTTGTGGGGGCGCCTGGGTGGCTCAGTTGGTTAAGCGACTGCCTTCGGCTCAGGTCATGATCCTGGAGTCCCGGGATTGAGTCCTGCATTGGGCTCCCTACTCAGCAGGGAGTCTGCTTCTCCCTCTGACCCTCCTCCCTCTCATGCTCTCTGTCTCTCATTTTCTCTCTCTCAAACTGATAAATAAAATCTTTAAAAAAAATAAAATAAAAAAGACTAGGGGTTTGTGACTAAAAGCAGATGTCGATGATGAAGTGAACAAGGTCCTTGTCTTTCTCCTCAGTGCCTGCACCTCTGCATCCCTGGAGCCCTCTTATGTCCTTCGAGCAATTGGCACTGATGAGGATTTAGCTCACTCTTCTATCAGGTCAGTCAGTTGAGCTGCAACATTTATGAAAAGCATCCTCTTTTGTATTATTCATCTCCTATTATAGTCTCCTCAGACTTGTTTTCCTTATCCCTTCTTGCTTCTTGAAAGTTTCTAGAGCAGTGGTTCTCAGACTTCGTCGAGTATCACTTGGGAAGTTTGTGAAGATTTCTGAGTCCCACACTCAGAGATTTTGATTCACTAGGACTGGAGGAGGTATAAGAAACTTCTCTGGTGACGCTATTGTGGGTGATCCACAGACCGATGTTCTGAGAAACTCTGGCTATGTTCTTTCCGTGTCTTTTGTGGAATAGATCCTCATTGAGTATTTGCTGAATGGATTTACCCTGGTGCCAGAGTTCAGATGCAGAGCTCTTCTCTTGTGCCTTTTTTCAGATTTGGCATTGGCCGTTTCACTACAGAGGAGGAAGTGGACTACACAGTAGAGAAGTGCATTCACCATGTGAAGCGTCTTCGAGAAATGAGGTATGCACTATGCACCAGAGAGCCTTTGGAAGAAATTGTAGTGCTGGCTCCTCTCTTATCCTCCAGCTATGTATTCACACAGCCAGAAACCAACCTTTGAGAATACTTGGATTTTAGGATTTAGAAGTTCCACAGAGTTGGGGCCCCTGGCTGTCTTAGTCGGTAGAGCATGAGATTCTTGATCTCAGGGTCGTGAGTTCAGGCCCCACATTTGGCATGGAGCTTACTTAAAAATACATACATACATACATACATACATACATACATACTTCTATACATAAATAAAAGTTCCACAAAGCCAGATAGTGGATCTCCTTGGCTACTTGTTTTCGGAATAGGACAAAGTGTTTTTAAAAACTAAAGAACTATGTAAATTCAGATGTTTTTCATTATTATAGTATTAATATCAATACAAAATTAGCGATTTTTAGACTAAGTAGAGAAAAACTCTCTTTAAGATAGGGATTCTTAATTTGGGTTGTGTGGCTAGACTTTGGGAGGTACATGATAGCCCTGAAATTGTATGCTAAATATTGTGTTGTTTTGCATTTTCTTTGAAAGAAGGTTCATAGTTTTCATCAAATTCTCAAAAGATTAAGAACTATTCTTCAGAGTGTTCTTTGTGAAGGTGCTTTATAAGCAAGGTCAAGAGATGCTTTGTCAGCCAGTTGCCACCGGGGCTTCCCTTAATAGCCATAGAGCTCTACTTCTTCTTGGGGACATTGAGGCCTCTGGAATTTTTCAGAGTCTGGCTCCATCCTGGTTGAATTCAACTTTCCGGATTCTCTTGGTCTAGTTATTGAGAGTGAGGAAGTTTGGGTATATGCCCTTCTTCCCTTTATGAACTTTCCTAGGCCTTTCTGGGCTCTGGATTTTCCTTCCCAGGGTCTAGTTGTATTGCTTAAACATCTACAGCTTGCTTAGTTTTCTTAGGCTCAAGATTCCTCCTTGGCTTGGCTTTTTGGTACTCTTTGACACATTCAAAGGGCATTTCTACTGACCGTGCTGCAAAGCCTTATTCTTCTTATCTGTGGCTTCAGCATCTTCACCCTGTTTCTTCTGACCTTTACAAACTGAATTCAGCCTGGTCTCATTAGCCCTCAGCTAAAGCTTTACAATGTGAGTCTATGACAATAAGTGACCTCTAAAGAGAAAGGACAGAAAAGAGATGGCTAATTTTAAGAGCCATGGAAAATGTCATACATAGAAAGGCATGCTGGGAATGCATGGCATAAAGGAGAGGGATAAGCCAAGAACAGAATGAAATTGGGTAGAAGAATATTAACTGGGGAAATCCAAACCAGAATCCCATATTCATAACACATTGAAGTAATAATCTGGTCTGGGAATATTATCTAAGGCATTCAAGCTGAAGGGAGTCAGAGCTTAGCAGATTTATCAGCAGCAGTTCTTGTGTGAGATGGGATGCTCAGTTCTAATATCCAAAAGGTACTTTTGAATTGGAACCAGGGATGTTGGAAGCACAGTCCAACTCTGGGGAGATGAGGCTGATAGGAATTGGTTAAGGGTGCTACATACCTAGGTAATTATGGCTAAGCTCTAGACCTAACAGAGAAGTAGAGCAAAACCCAGAAAGAAGTGTGAAAAGTGGTCCATGTGTGATAGGGATGAGTAGAGAGGCTGAAACTTGCTGCTTACACAGGTTCCAAGGGTCTTGGTACTACCAGGGAAACTGTGTCCATAGTCTGTCATGAATGGGATGAGAGCTTCTTGAATATGACCACAACCTGATGCCACTGGCTTGGCCCCACTGGAGCTGAGCCTGGGCTATCCAGTTATTGTTTGTTGGCAGCTGTGGAGAGGCTAAAGCTGCCAAGGATTTAAAGAGAGCTGGGAGGGCGCCTGGGTGGCTCAGTTGGTTAAGCGTCTGCCTTCGGCTTAGGTCACAATCCCAGGGTCCTGGGATCAAGTCCCACATCTGGCTCCCTGCTAAGTGGGAAGCCTGCTTCTCCCTCTCCCCCTCCCCCCTGCTCGTGCTCTCACTCTCTCTCTCAAATGAATAAATAAAATCTTTAAAAAAAGAGAGAGAGCTGGGAAAGACTTGCTAACCACTATATTGGGTCTCTCAGGGCAAGAAAGTGGAGAGACAAGAATGGATGAAGAGAATTCAGGGCTCAGGGGTCAGAGACCAGTGTCGGTTGTTTCCTGTCTAAACCCTTACTCACCCAATGTCTCTTTTCTTTTGGCAGCCCTCTCTGGGAGATGGTGCAGGATGGCATTGACCTCAAGAGCATCAAGTGGACCCAACATTAGAAGAGTGGGCCTCTGACTTTGTGCTGACCTCGCTTCTCCTGCCTCACCAACCCATGCACATCTGGATACCTTGTTATGCCAGTGCGTGTTTCATATTCTAACCAGAATTTGTGTAGCCCAGTTGACTTCAGCATCAGCCCACCATCAGCCTAAGATAGAAACACAAGAAAACTATCTTTCCTGAGCCTCAGCTCCTTTGGTGGGGAACACTCACCATTTCTCTCTAGGAGTCCTTCTCTGGTCTTATGGTGAATGGGTGTTCTTGGTGGGGAAAGCCAGAGGAACTGGAAGAAGGTTCTTTGTTCAGAGACCTCAGTGCTCTATGTGGACGTTTGAATTGTTGCTTACTACTGGTCAGCAAGACTAATTCCTTCAGGAACAAGCATAATCAACTACTATTTAATTTCTTTTTTGGCTCCAAAGTTCACCTCTTCATGTTGATTATAGACTGACAGCAAGTTTCTTAGAAGGCTTGTCTCCTGTTCTTGTCCCCCCTTATTTTTTTTGACCTAATGGAGCTAGAAATATCTATATGACTCCACCCACTATTCTAATACTTTGTTTCTTTTTAAAAATTGTTAATTTGCAGATCAGAAAAATAAAATCACCTTCCTGTATTTAATTTGTGACTTTATGAAAGTCTCAGAGAAAATTCCAACCTGTGGTTGGGAATCAGGAACAAACTACCACTCCACTTGATTCCCATAAATGACTTTTCAAGGAGGTATTACATAAGCAAAAACGTGATTTCCAGCCATGGAAAGAACTAAAGATGAATGAGAAATGAAAAGGAGCTGGAAGAATAAAGGGCCTGAGGTTTAAAAAGGCATGATGTGTTTGAGAAACCAATAGGCTAATATAGCTAGAGTAGTTTTTCCATTTGTGGGTCTGACACTATAGGTGAATAGTTACCAGCACTAAAAAAAAGCAAGAGAAAAAAACAGAGTATATCACACATATTTTAAGTATTTTGCTTGCTTATTTATTTATGAATAAGTAGGCTGTACACCCAGTGTGGAGCCCAAACCTCTGACCTTGAGATCAAGAGTCAGACACTTAACCCACTGAGCCATCCAGGCACCCCTTATTTATTTATTTTTAAATAATCTCTACATCCATGTGGGGCTCCAACCTTCAACCCTGAGATCAAGAGTCACATGTTCCACTGACTGAGCCAGCCAGGTGCCCCTTAAGCATTTTATTTTGATTTTATATTTGAATGTGTATACCTGGTTGCAAATGTATTATGTGAGTGATGGTCAAAAAAGTTTGAAAGCTACTAGCTAGAAGTATGGTAAATGCAGATGGATAGGGGGAGGAGGTTTTTAAACAATTTTTTTAATTTGAATAATTTTAGATATAAAGTTTGCAAAGATAGTACAGAGTTAGATGTCCATCACCCAATTTCTTCTAATTTTAACATCTAATATAAAACTCCCATGGTATATTTGTCAAAACTAAGAGATTAACATCTGTACATTAGTATTAACTAAACTTCAGATTTAATTCCGATTTCACCAGTTTTCTCACTAATGCCCCTTTTCTATTCCAGGAGCCAATCTTGGATACAACATTGCATTTAGTAGGTTTTGTTTTCAGTGCACTATACTATACCTGCAAAGAGTATATATAACTAAGTATAGGTTCAGTTTAAAAAGGTGGCCTGGGGGGCGCCTGGGTGCCTCAGTCAGATAAGCGTCTATCTTCAGCTTAGGTCCTGATCCCAGGGTCCTGGGATCGAGCCCCGTGTCGGGCTCTTGCTCAGCAGGAAGACTGCTTCTCCCTCTCCCTCTGCCTGCCGCTCCCCCTGCTTGTGCTCTCTCTCTCTCTGTGTCAAATAAATAAAATCTTAAAAAAAAAAATAAAAAGTGGCCTGGTTTTCTAATTTGCTGTTTTTGGCATACAGAGCTAGCACCAGGCAAGTCTACCACACAAGTCTTCCCAAAAACTTGTTGTGGGAACTTAGTCCCTGATTTTCTTGCTCAGTTGTCTCCTCACTTTCTGATTTGGAAGATTAGTTCAATTTTGGTGATAGTCATCATGTTGTTCAAAACCGGGCTCTGTGCTCCAGAGCTGAAATAGAATGCAAAGGTAGAGATTTGGGGTTAAGAGGAAAGACAGTTTTATTACTTCCAGGCAAAAGAGGCTGCAGCAAGCTAATGCCTTCAAAACTGCAGACTCGCTCTGTGTAAAAGGCTGAGGGGTTTATACATATATATATATATATGTATATATATATATGTATGTATATATATATATAAAATATATATAATACAGGGTCTGGGTGGTTTGGGTAGAAATCTGATAGTACTGCCAGCCCTATTGGTTATGTCTTCAAAGTGGTTTCATGACTAATGCTGGCAATGACCATCTGAGTCTCATTCCTAAGTATACTTTGAGGTAAGCAAGATGTCAACATTGATGCGGAGTTCCTGGAACAAAGGATTCCACAGAAAAACAAGTGAAGGGAAGAGAGAAGCTTTAAGAACGAGGAAGAGCGGGGGGGGGGGGGGAATTGTTCAGTTTAAAGTCAGTCTTGGGGTGCTTGGGTGGCTCAGTCGTTAAGCGTCAGCCTTCAGCTCAGGTCCTGATCCCAGGGTCCTGAGATGGAGCACTGCATCGGGCTCCCTGCTCAGCGGGAAGCCTGCTTCTCCCTCTCCCACTCCCCGTTTGTGTTCCCTCTCTCGCTATGTCTCTGTCAAATAAATAAATAAAATCTTTTTAAAAAAATGAGGACTGGTGGGTAAGGCTCCCTGGACTGAAATTTTTATTTATTATTATTTTTTAAAGATTTTATTTATTTGACAGAGAGACACAGCGAGAGAGGAAACAAGCAGGGGGAGTGGGAGAGGGAGAAGCAGGCTTCCCGCGGAGCAGAGAGCCTGATGCGGGGCTCGATCCCAGGACCCTGGGACCATGACCTGAGCCGAAGGCAGACGCTTAACGACTGAGCCACCCAGGCGCCCCTGGACTGAAATTTTTAAATGGGAAAAAATAGCAGGTTTCGGTTCTGCCAGGGCATCATCAACAGAACCGTGCACTACTTTGTGGTCCATTTCATCCTCAAAACAATCACGCGAAGAAGGGACTATTTATTCCCTTTCGCATAAGATTGAAGAAAAGTAACTTGCACAAAGTCCCGCAGTGAGGGTTCGAACCACACACTCTTAACCCAACCCACGCCGCAGCGACACTCTCCTTAGGCGGGGTTAGTGCGCAAACGTCGCACGCACAGACTCAAAGTTCCTCTCGCCACAAATACCCGCAACTTCCGGGAGATTGCCCAAGAACCTCAGCGCGCTTGCGCCACCCCGCCCCGTGACGTCTCCATTCCGTCCCTCCCCTTCTGGAACGCGGAGCTGCCGAGCGGGCTGTCGGCCATTTTGTGAAGCGGCGAAAGAGGTGGTGGCTGCTGTGGGCTCCGGGAAGCCGTTCGGGCTGGGGCTGTCGGCCGCGGGGCGGAGGCACTCGCGCGGGGGGTAACTCGGGTCTGGGTTCGGGTGCCGCGCAGCTCTCGCCGGTAAGACTCCCGCAGCCCGGAACGGGCGGGGCTGTGCGGGGCTCGAGCCGCCCCTTGGTGGCCCGGGGCGGGGCTTTCGGAGGCCTCCGAGCCCGCCGCAGCAAGCGCCCCACACAAAAGGGTCGCGGCATGGCTGCGGGGGGGCCTGGGGAGCCGCTTGCGCCTTTGAAGCCTGAGAGGATGCAGGAAGGACGCAAGAGAGGATGAGCCTGCATACCGAAGTGGGGACGAGGCCAAAGGGAGGATGCCCCCGTGGTCTGAGAGGGAGGAGGCCACAGCTGGGTGGCCCAGCGGCCTGCGAACTAACAGGGATTGCAGTAAAAACACACCTACATCCCGAATGAGCGAGATTTTCTATGCTTCCCAAAAGGGACAGAGATTGTAACTACATCTCTGTGCCCCGTAGTGAGGAGATAAACGTAGTGAAGACACTCCCTCCATCCGAAGTGGAAAGGAGGCTCCTGTGGCCTAACAGGAAAAGGGGACTAGAGTCTGGACACACCTGTGGGGAGGAAGCTGCAGTCGGTACACTCCTGTGAGTCTAGGAAGGAAGTCTGAGAACTGGCCGCCTTCGTGGTCTGAAGGTGGAGGGGGTTGCAGGGAAATGCTTCCAAGGCTCCGCGCTGGGCGGGGTTTACCCACGAGGGTGTCGGCGATTTGGGAAGCCGGCCTCTGCTGTGAGAAAGGGGGTGAGTACACCTCCCAAACCTCTGAGAACAGTAGTAAGATGCCAGGCCCTTGATCCCCAAGCAGGGAAGGAGCTGCAAAAAGCAGCACCTTTACATATCCCTTGGGAGAGAGCCTCCAGCACTGAAAGAGGAGCAGGCCCAATAAGAGGTGGAGGGTGGGTGCTTTTGATCAGTGAACGGAGTTTTCTTCAGTGGAGGCTGGAGGTTTTAGTTGGCAGCCACGTGAAGTAGGGGTGGGGCTTTGAGAACCTGCAGTTAGTGTCGGGGATGGACACCAGTGCAGGAGGCTTAGCTGCCAGATTGTAAATGCATGGACTTCATGTGTGCATGTAATGTGTACTTTATAGTGAAAAATATCAGCGGCTCCGGTGAAGATCACTTTGGGTTATTCAGCACAAAACATGCTGGGAGTTTTGTACCCTGACTTGAAGGCTCCGTAGGAGAGGTTTCTGGACTCAAACTGTCCTTGACTCCTGGATTTCCAGAGATGATTTAATGTAAATTGTGGTAGTTGTCAGGAACCGTTCTGTATTATTCAAGAATAGTGTAATTTCAGTCAGTATAACCTGAGAAAAAATGTAATTGCAGCTGAGGGATTGTTGAAGGAGGGACTTGTGACTGGAGTGTTCTTAGAGCTTCTTGCTTGAATGGTTTAAAATCGTGTAGTTTTTTGTAAAATGCAGTATTAGTAAAATGAATTGCATTGGACTTTGTTACCTAGTTTATATTGTTGATGTATTTCAGAGCATTTGCTGTTCAAAAATGTCCTACAAGTCTGGACATACGGGCTGATTTTGTTTGTTTTGTTTTATAGAAACGTAATACAAGACTGGTTGTACTCGTTTTTGAAATTTGGTGGTTTTGACCGAATAGACCATTTCTGGATTTAGTGGGAAGTAATTGTGTTCAGGCATTTTCCAAGAATATTAAAAAGTTGGGAAGAACTGTTACAGGTGGTTAAAATAATTTTATGGTAATTTTTTTTAGAAAATGAAATGTTTGGCGTGTTTATATAAAGGTTGAGGACGTGCTCAGTATTATTGCTGGAAAATTTTTTAACGAAATGGAATGCATTTTATATCATCTTTATATGCTCGATTAAATACTTATTTTGTTTATGGATTGTAATGCATAATTTGTGTTTGTGTTCATATCTGTTAGGTGAAAAATGTGAAGCTTTAGAAACCATTGTGGTAGTTACTTGGAACCTATTGTTATGTGCGAATATCGGCATACTTCTGGCTTCTTTCACTTTCTTGTGACATGCCAAATGTTTTGATGATTGCATATTGAGAGTTTGGGGGTTGTTGGTACAGTTTTTAGATGTGAAACTTGATTTTATGGACCAGTGTGTTCCAGGTGCTGGAATCCAGTGACAATGTTCAAAACGTTTTTATTCCATTTTGTAGAGAGCCACTCCATCTTTCGGTTTAGATGAATATTTTCTTCTATAGATGTTGTAGAAAGAATTTCTAAGTGTCAGTAGTTGCACAAAAGATGCTCTTAGATATCTCTCTCTCAAATCTAGGGACTGTCGTCCATTTCTATATCTCCTGTCCCGGCCACAAGTACTTAATAAATGTTCGTAGTATAAATGAATGTTGTTAAATGTTTAGGTCAACTAAGCAGAAAAGTAACTTGATCTAATTTATAGTTTATCAGATTTTACTACCACCACTCATACACATTTTGGTTTGCAACGGGTTTATTTCATTAAGTTTCAAGCAACCTTTTAAGTCTTAAGACCAACAGTGAGGGTGAATATGGTTGGCTAGGTTAGAAGTGATACTGTTGCTTTTAAGTTTAAATCAAGATAATGAACATATTTGTTGGCATTGGGGGGGGATTGAAAAATAATATTATAGTCTTTTTGGCAGGAAGAATATATATCTTACTTAAAAATGTCTTTTGGTTTGCCACTTTTGAGAACTTTCTGGAGGTTAATGGGAAAGTTGAAGAATGAGCTGTCTAAAGGATTTATGTCCCTCAGTGTCAGAATTGTTTCATTAAGAATGATCCCAGAATCTGAAATGTGATTCATTTGGGGATGGGGACAAAATCAGGTGGATGAAGCTGTGTTTTTTTCCATAATGCCTACCATAATATGATTATGCGGCTTATAGCATTGTGCCCATTATGATTGGTTCTCTGAGGTGAATATTTGAGGGGTGCTGGTTTTTGTATTTTTTCAATCTAAAGAACTTAGCTCTGCTGTACCCTGGTTATTGTTGATTAAAGACTGACAACAAAGTTAAAATTCACTTTTTGATGTTTATCACCAGATGAAGAGTGGAAACGGTTAAGTGCAACTGATTTGTTCTTTGGCTTCCTGATAAAAGAGGATTGTTGTCAGACATTTTACTCTGAAATTCCAAGTGATTGAAATGACTAGTAAATAAGAAAATACGCCGTGTCATAATAATATGCTGAATGTTCATAGCAGATATTTGTAATTTGTTCATGTATCTGGTATTTCTATAGCTGAAGCAAAGCCACTATGTTAGGACTAAGTCCTAACAAAGTGGAAAAATATACTAGAGCAACCTTTTGTTTTAGATCTTCTGAAATATATCATTGAATTTAATGGCAAATCAGGCCCATTTTCTCCTTTGTACCTTTATGCTTTACAAATAAGTAAAACATGTGTTTTAGATTGTTTTTGTTGCATAGAACTGTTTCAGTCTTACCCTTCTAAAATTCACCAAGTCTTAATGTGGTTGGAATGGATTTTTCATTTTGGGATCCTGCATTCTGTTGCTAGCTGACATTTAGAACACAGGAATGAGTAGTTCCTGGAGAACAGTGGTGCTTCTATTAAATTATTGTGCTCTTTACAAAGTGAGGTGTTGAAAACAAAAGTACTACTACAGTTCTCAGTTTCTATGTACTTTGTCCATTTGAAGGGAGAAGTGTAACACCAAGAGTTAGGAAGTTCTAGCTTCTAGCCTGAACTTTCTGCATACTTTTCTTTGGTATGGGTTGATATGGGCCTTCTTCCCCTTTGCTTAAATAGAAAAGATTCATGAGTTTATTTCTAGATTGATTAAATTGAACAACGTAAAATTTGAGGCATTTGCCGAATTCAGCTGGAATGTCAACTTTTTCTTGTGGAATGAGATTTTCCTTCTTGTTATAGTAATTTCTGGCAACCCTTTAGAAATTTTTGATAGTAGGTCCAGTGTGTTCCCTTTGGGTGTAACTGGCTGACTCTAAACTTGTTCGTATCCAGATGGACATTTGGAGGCTTCTTGGGTCTGGAAGGGAAGAGGCTGAGGAACCTGTTTCCCTTACCTTCAGGGCACATATCCTGGCCCCATACCAGACCTTTTTGAATTGTAATCTCCAGTGGGGGATCATCTGTTAATCATAAATGCTTAACTAGAAAATTACTGTGGTTCTGTTGGTTATAGAGTCAAACTTGTACATTTAGAAAATATTACAAAATTCATGCTCTTCCTCATTGAGCATAGCCTTTACCTAAAAGCAGGCTTTTTTGTGTGTTTCATGTTTCCCTTTGTGACCTGTTAGATAAACTTCTAGGTGTGGCTTTTAAATAGTTTGAAAACTCTTTAGACCTAATTAGAACTGATTTGTACAACACATAAAAAATTAATACAGTGCTCTGGGCTTTTGAAAGCATTGCTTATGACATATGTGCGTAGCTTTTGTGACAAAACAGTCTCTTCAGTAATTTGAGTAGTTGTCTAGAAGATGTTTAGCTTGTCCTTTAGAAAAAAATTGGAGTAACACTGAAATTTTTTAATATGTTTTACTTTTTGGTGATGAATATTAAGCTCACAGGTGGTATCTCGAACTTGAAAGATAGTTAAAAATGAGCATCATTCTAAGTAGTGTTCTGTTGGTAATTTTTATACTTAATGATGATTTTCTTCTGTTTCTCTGAATTAAAAAATGATCTTTTTGAATGTAGTTGTTTAATTATTTGGTCTTATATATTGCTTGTGAATTGTTCACAACTTCACCAATTTGGGAGAAATTCCAGTAAGAGATGAGTGACTCGTTTTTACTTTGGGGAGTCTTCTTAATATGCCAGACATTTTTAGGGAATTTTTTTTTTTTACAAGTTTCTTGGAACAGTTTGGTGTTAGAAGGTAAAGAAAGCACTTTTCCTTAAGATTTCGAACCCCAGTGGTTTTAAATAGGAATTAATCATTATAGCCTGAACTTTCACGTCATTTATGTTTCTCAGTGCTTGATGCTATTTTGGTACAAAGGAAAATATTTTGAAAGAGCAGTTGCAAGAATTTCCATAAGTACCCTTGAATTGATGACTTTGTCGTTTGTCGTTTGTCTTGGAACTGTTTATGTGTGAACTTGCGCTTTTTCATCAAGTGTTTGGTGGGACCTGAGGAAATAGGTTGTAGTTGGACTTGTATTAATGGAATTTTCTGGACTGGTTTAATCATCAAGTGAAAAAAGTAATTACCAGGTGTGAAGCTGAGCTTTATGACTGTTTTAGTTTTTAATTGATTCATTCTTGGACTAATTTATGGCACATTCTTGATGAATGTAAATATATAATGTTTTGAGAGATACTCAAATTTGAAAGCAATACCAAGTAACAAGTATGTGTGGGATTTTGGTACATGTGTTTCTTTCTTTCTTTCGTTCTGTTTTTTTAATACGCATTCTAATGAAGTACTCTGTGGTGGTTTCAGACTCGCCTTCATAATATACAGTTCAGTGTGGCCTGTGCGTGTTGTTTTGTGTTTCCTGCATTGATTTTTGCCTCCGTTTATTCTCTATTGCAGTCTAAAAGTTGGTTTTAATTGGTTGCCCACAGGATTGACTTGGCCTCTACTTCTTGTTAAGAAAATACATCTCTTGTTTTATCAGGTAAGAGATTTTGAATAGAGGGTTTGTTTTTATACAAAATAAAATGAGACAGCTTATTTAGTAACATGAAAATATGTGTAGTAACTGACTGAATTGTGGGGGATTTTCTTTTTCTTTTTTTTAACAGTCTTATCTGAGGGATGGGGGTGGGGTGGACTGGGTGCCTTGAACAGTTGTTGCTTTCTTCGGGGTTCAGTTTTATATGGATGCATTTCTTCTGCTGAATTCCTGATTATTAGGCAGTAAGCTGTTTTTTTTCCTCAGGGTAGCATTCCAGACTCATTACAAATATAGGTGCTTGTTATTGGTATGGTTTTTTAATATTCCTTAGAGGTAAAGGTGTAGATAATGGGTCATACGTTTTAGAGTACCTATTTTGACTTTAGATGGAACTTTAGTGATTGGAATCTAACCCTCTTGTTAAATAACAAAGGTAGGCTCAAGATAGTTGAAATGACTTACCTGTCAAACAGGCACTTAGTAGAAGAATAGCATATCTTATTTCATATTTTTTCAGAACCTAAAAACTGTTTTTCTCTTTAGATGGCTTTATGAATAACTCTTGTGTTCTTTGGTTTAATCCTCAGCCCTTTTCTAGCTGGTAATCTGGGCAGTTTTTTCAATATCATGTTTTCATTTGTAACTTGTGCAGACTTTCACTAAAGCCCTTCTCTTAGTAGCAGATGGTTTTTTGAAGAATTACTGTGTATGTCTCTTTAGCCCTGTGTTTAATTTTTGTGTTCTTGGGACTATATTAAATTCCCATTTTACTGTCCCAGTGCAAACTAACATCTCTCTCTCAAGTGTTTGGGTGCCTAGATTACTTACCCATGATTGAGTGATTAAGTGATCAAGCATTTTTTTGAAGTTGAACAGGAATGCTGTCTTAATTTTGCATGTAGCCAATATGCTACAGACAGTAGGGAATGAGAATTTGATTTAATGTCTTGAAATCTTCTTGATGAGCTTTCATATAGACTGCTAAATAGTCGTAAATAAGAAGAAAAGAGTTTGTTGGTGTGATTTATTTTTTTTAGTATTAATTTTTCTTGTTGACTCTTGCAAACCAAAAAGGGAAAGCTTCCCTCCTCCCCCAAATTTCTAGTGTTTTATAATGGTGTCACAAAGAGCATTTTCTGTTTGCCAGTCTTTCTTCATTAAATTTGAAAGTGGCTTTTATTTTTGTGTATGTGTGTGAGAAAACTGTCAAAGCCAAACAGTACATTTCTGTTTTGTGTACAGCAGTCATATTGGTTGAAATATAATTACAGATTTTGTTTTATCAAATTAATATTCACACAATATTTAACATTGAAAAACTGCTTTCATGGAGTTACAGGATTCTTAGAGCTTGCAGTAGCTCTTTTTTTTTTTTTAATTTATTCATGAGAGACAGAGACAGAGAGAGAGGCAGAGGGAGAAGCAGGCTCCCAAGGAGCAGAGAGCCCGATACGGGACTCGATCCCAGGACCCTGGGATCATGACCTGAGCTGAAGGCAGACGCTTAACCATCTGAGCCACCCAGGCGCCCGCAGTAGCTCTTTTAATGTTCCTGTTTGGGAAGTGATAAAACCAAAGCTCAAATCATTTATAATTTTTCTGAGGTCACAGAACTGGTTTAAGAGGTTTATATTTAAAAGTTGTTTTTTTTTTTTTTTTTTTTTTTTAATTTTATTTGTCAGAGAGAGCACAAGCAGGGAGAGCGGCAGGCAGAGGGAGAAGCAGGCCTCCCTGCTGAGCAAGGAGCTCAATGCAGGACTCTATCCCAGGAGCCTGGGATCATGACCTGAGCCAAAGGCAGCCGCTTAACTGACTGAGCCACCCAGGCATCCCTAAAAGTTGATTTTTAAGATGGCTTGGAAAACACCCCATGTTGTTGATCACATAAATTTCAAATTAATATTTTTTCCAGTCCCAAGAATTTGTTTTATATCACTTTACAAAGGGCTTCCCTTGCATTTGCTCTTGGAAGCCATAAGAACTGAAATACTGAAATTTTATTTAAATCTGGGAGAAACTTCTCAAAAAGAAAAAGTTCAGAATGGGACTTTATTTAAGGAGACCAGTGAGCTCCCAGAAATACCAGAGGAGTTATGTTGAGTAAAGACTGTAACAGTCACTGAATAAAGTTCATACCCTTGTTCTTTTTAAAACAAAATCAAAACCAAAAAATACCCTTTTTTCGTTATCAGCCTTCCTTGGGAAAAACAAGACTTTTTTGAGTGTGTATGTGTGTGTTGTTTCTTTTTTTTAATGGTGAGTTTGGAAATAAGTCATTGGATCTGAGTTTTAATTAAAACAGCTATGGTGAATGGCACTGCAACCAGGTTCTACTTTTTGGCGTGATGAATATGGATAACTAAGATTTTGGCTATTTTATTCAGTATTTCTTTTGGATTCTTTGTATGTATTAACCTTGTCTGTAATAAATAATTCCATATATAGTTTTCTTTAATAAATAGAGCTGTAATGCAGATTGAAGAGTTTTAAGTTGAATATGGAGTCCATTCTCTTTTGAGACTTGAGTCTACTTTAGTGTTAAGTATTATTTGTAATTCATTAGTATTCCAGTTTTCTGTTTCTTTTTTGCATTTTGAGATTGAGTCATATAAAATGACACTGATAATTCTACAAAGTTGTCATGTTTATAAGGAAAATGCTAAGCCACTTTTAAATACTAACTTTGATACATCCTTTGCATGTTTTTCCCCTGCAGATTGTCCAGCTTTGTGTCCTGATTTGACTTACACATTTCTTCTAAATCTTACTGAATAATTAGTGGTCTGAATGATGTAATTGGTGATTCTACTTCTTATGGTGGCTTTTTTCCCCTGAAACTTTTGAGTCATGGGACTGAACTTCTAATTGTTTACAGAATTAATGCCTTTTGGAAGTTGAAATTGTCTAGGTTTTACATTGTAAATGGCACATAATGTTCAGTTTTTAGGATATTCAAATAAAAAAAAAACCTGCATTGCTTGTGATAGTTTGAGGGTATATTTGAGGGCCTAATATGGTAGCTGGTCATTCTTGTAGTTAAAAACTTGGTGTGATAAACAGGAGTCTGACCTGGCCGTTGCCTTTTCTCATCTGCAGGTGTGTGTGGTTTCAGCGCAGCATGGCTGTGGTCATCCGTTTGCAAGGTCTCCCAATTGTGGCGGGGACCATGGACATTCGCCACTTCTTCTCTGGATTGACCATCCCTGATGGGGGCGTGCATATTGTAGGGGGTGAACTGGGTGAGGCTTTCATCGTTTTTGCCACTGATGAAGATGCAAGGCTTGGTATGATGCGCACAGGTGGTACAATTAAAGGGTCAAAAGTAACACTTTTGTTGAGTAGTAAAACGGAAATGCAGAATATGATTGAACTGAGTCGTAGGCGTTTTGAAACTGCCAACTTAGATATACCACCAGCAAATGCTAGTAGATCAGGACCGCCACCTAGCTCAGGAATGAGTGGCAGGGTAAACTTGCCTACAACAGTACCTAACTTTAATAATCCTTCACCCAGTGTAGTTACTGCCGCCACATCTGTTCATGAAAGCAACAAAAACATACAGACATTTTCCACAGCCAGCATAGGAACGGCTCCTCCAAATATGGGGGCTTCATTTGGGAGCCCAACGTTTAGCTCAACCATTCCGAGCACAGCGTCTCCAATGAACACAGTCCCACCACCACCAATTCCTCCAATCCCAGCGATGCCATCTTTGCCACCAATGCCGTCCATTCCCCCGATACCAGTTCCTCCTCCGGTACCTACATTGCCTCCCGTGCCTCCTGTGCCCCCTATTCCCCCAGTCCCTTCTGTGCCACCTATGACCCCACTGCCACCCATGTCTGGCATGCCACCCTTGAACCCGCCACCTGTGGCACCTCTACCTGCTGGAATGAATGGCTCTGGAGCACCTATGAATCTGAACAATAACTTGAACCCTGTGTTTCTGGGTCCATTGAATCCTGTTAACCCTATCCAGATGAACTCTCAAAGCAGTGTGAAACCGCTTCCCATCAACCCCGATGATCTGTATGTCAGTGTGCATGGAATGCCCTTTTCTGCAATGGAAAATGATGTCAGGGATTTTTTCCATGGGCTCCGTGTTGATGCAGTGCATTTGTTGAAAGATCATGTAGGTCGAAATAATGGGAATGGATTGGTTAAGTTTCTCTCCCCTCAAGATACATTTGAAGCTTTGAAACGAAACAGAATGCTGATGATTCAACGCTATGTGGAAGTTAGTCCTGCCACAGAGAGACAGTGGGTAGCTGCTGGAGGCCATATCACTTTTAAGCAAAGTATAGGACCTTCTGGACAAACCCATCCCCCTCCTCAGACACTTCCCAGGTCAAAATCGCCCAGTGGGCAGAAAAGGTCAAGGTCAAGATCACCACATGAGGCTGGTTTTTGTGTTTACTTGAAAGGGCTACCATTTGAAGCGGAAAACAAACATGTCATTGATTTTTTTAAAAAGTTGGATATTGTGGAAGATAGTATTTATATTGCTTATGGACCCAATGGGAAAGCAACTGGTGAAGGCTTCGTAGAATTCAGGAATGAGGCTGACTATAAGGCTGCTCTCTGTCGTCATAAACAGTACATGGGCAATCGCTTTATTCAAGTTCATCCAATTACTAAGAAAGGTATGCTAGAAAAGATAGATATGATTCGTAAAAGATTGCAGAACTTCAGCTATGACCAGAGGGAAATGATGTTAAATCCGGAGGGGGATGTCAGCTCTGCCAAAGTCTGTGCTCACATAACAAATATACCATTCAGCATTACCAAGATGGATGTTCTTCAGTTCCTAGAAGGAATCCCAGTGGATGAAAATGCTGTACATGTTCTTGTTGATAACAATGGGCAAGGTCTAGGACAGGCATTGGTTCAGTTTAAAAATGAAGATGATGCACGTAAGTCTGAACGCTTACACCGTAAAAAACTTAATGGGAGAGAAGCTTTTGTTCATGTAGTTACTCTAGAAGATATGAGAGAGATTGAAAAAAATCCCCCTGCCCAAGGAAAAAAAGGGTTAAAGATGCCTGTGCCAGGTAATCCTCCAGTTCCAGGAATGCCCAGTGTGGGAATGCCCAGTGCGGGAATGCCCAGTGCAGGAATGCCCGGTGCGGGAATGCCCGGTGCGGGAATGCCCGGTGCGGGAATGCCCGGTGCGGGAATGCCTGGTGCGGGAATGCCCGGTGCAGGAGGTGAAGAGCATGCCTTCCTGACTGTAGGATCTAAGGAGGCCAGCAATGGGCCTCCATTTAACTTTCCTGGTAATTTTGGTGGGTCGAATGCCTTTGGGCCACCACTCCCTCCTCCAGGATTAGGAGGGGCCTTTGGTGATGCTAGGCCTGGTATGCCTTCAGTTGGAAATAGTGGTTTGCCTGGTCTAGGACTGGATGTTCCAGGTTTTGGAGGTGGACCAAATAATTTAAGTGGGCCAGGATTTGGAGGAGGCCCTCAGAATTTTGGAAATGGCCCTGGTAGTTTAGGTGGCCCCCCTGGCTTTGGAAGTGGCCCTCCTGGTCTTGGAAGTGCCCCTGGGCATTTGAGTGGGCCACCAGCCTTTGGGCCTGGCCCTGGGCCTGGCCCTGGCCCAATTCACATTGGTGGTCCCCCTGGCTTTGGATCTAGTTCTGGAAAACCAGGACCAACAGTAATTAAAGTGCAGAATATGCCCTTCACTGTGTCTATTGATGAGATTTTAGATTTCTTTTATGGCTATCAAGTGATCCCAGGCTCAGTGTGTTTAAAATACAATGAAAAAGGTATGCCCACAGGCGAAGCCATGGTGGCCTTCGAATCTCGGGATGAAGCCACAGCTGCTGTCATTGACTTAAATGACAGACCTATAGGCTCAAGGAAAGTAAAACTTGTCTTAGGGTAGCTGTTCACATCAATTCTTTATAGGGTAGATTTTCATAGTGCTGTGATTAATGCATCCAGATTGTTTTCCTAGTATTTCCAGGTTAGAACCTGTGGATTGTTTCAATTGCATATAGATTGGTTTCTATAACATAGAGCATTGGTTGACTGTTTACAGAAGACTCACTACCAGGATAAATACTGCTGTATGTTACAGTAAAGCTGTCTGGAGAGAACACAAAAATGATTTTGGCGTACCATTAGAGAAACCATTTGTAAAACACAAATGACCACATAAAGCTTATCAAGGAGTTTAGATTGGTTTTGTTTTATACCATATGGGATGAAGAAAATAGAAATGTCAATAGAGCTCATTAAGGGTGCTCTTGCCAGCTGCTGAAAAATAGAAGTTGGCTACTCTTGGAATTTGGTTTAAAGCTGGACAGATTTGCTTTGTTATAGGGTCAAAGCTTTGTCTAAAGTCCTCATTTTCTTTTAAAATTGAATAAAATCTCTGTATACAGATTCACTGTATGTACCTTTATTGCTTCTTGAGGGTTCTTGCTGTATAGACAGTCCTGCTTCTGAAGTTGCTGCTTTTTTGTTTGCCTAATTGACTCATTTGTAAATGAGCAGAACTGTTTTGTTGTTGTTGTTGTTGTTTTAATATAAAACTCCACACTTGGTTTGTCCTATAACCTTGAACTTTGATTTCTAATGTCACACTTAAAACTGTGTGAAATAAGTACTTTTGCCAGAAAAATAAAATATGGAGTCCTCTACCTACCAGAGCCTTTTTGGTTTGACCGCCATGTTTTAGTTTAGTCAGTTTAAAAATTGTTCATGTTGTTTAGATGGCATTGAAAACCAGAAACCACTTCTAATAATCATTGTTTAAGATGCCAGATTTGAAGTCCTGTCCATGATGGACTAATGTTCTGGCAATTTCCTTCTGTCCCAAATTTGTGTGAAATTTTGGCCTGTAACTAAACAAAGAGGGTCCATTTATAAGAAAGAGCATTATATCTAGGTTTTTTAAAAACTGAAGTTGAAATTGTTAGCTTTGTTAGCAGTAGTGTTATAGAATAAAAGATTCATAAGCTGTTCCATAGATGTGCATTTAATCCTGTTACTTGGAGGCTTTTTGGTCTAGTTGTTTGATCAGGAGCCTGTTCATAAAAACTCTTCATACAGAGTACAAGTGCAGCTGCCAGAGGGGAGAGAATTGAGACTCCTTGCCCTTTCATACTCTTCTTTGGTATTCAGGACACTAAGGCAGGAGGACCACATGGGTTCTGGTTGGTAAGTGTCCTTGTCATGAAAACATTTGCCTTACAACATCCTGCTCACTGCTACAAAAGGCTCTACTTATGGTTACTTTCCTTCTTAGTTAAAATGCTCTAAAGATGTGTCACATTATATTATAAACATATGGAATGGGAGATTGGTGAGATATCATGAAAAACAAATTTTGTCTTTTACATGGGCCTCTGTCTTGGTTTGAAATATCCCCAACATTTCCTGCAAATCAATGTACTTACAAAGGGGTCAGCCTTTTAAAAGAAGTATTTCCTATTAAAGAAAATAGTGCCTTTTTGGTGTTGCAAGTTAGTGGAACACTGAAATACAGCGTCTCGTGTAATTTAGAGTTAAGAGTGGCAGCAGTTTCATTGCGTGATAAGATTTGGAAAGCCTTTTCATCACTACAATCTTAGAGGATTGACAGTACAGGATTTTTTGTTTAGGGAAAGGATTGTTTAGACTTTCAAAGAAGACATGGCTGTGTTGTGGGTCTTTTGACAATTCATGAATACAAATTTGCTTTGACAGATCACTAGATATTGCCTCCTCAACTAAAAAAGCAATATGATGTTTATATATGCTGTTCAATTAAGTTTTCTGTTAAGTAATCATTTCTCATTCCAAAGACCGAGTGCAGAAAACTTCAGCGCTGCTTGGGAGTCTTATTTCAACTGCAGATTATTTTCCCATTGGAGAGCTGACTATTTTCATTTTAGAAAAATGGGTTGTTTGAAGATAAAAGTCTTTTATCTTTTTTCACAGTTTATTTTGGTTATATGTTCGTACAATCTTATTAAATATTTCATATACTTTATTGCAACTACTTTGTTATTTCTACATCTTAGATAAATGCTGAAAAGGAAAACTTGATTTCATTGTTCATCAAATTAAATAAATTAAGAAAATAGTGGTTTGTGTAGAATTTGGAGAGAACTATGTTTCATATTTGGTTGAGTCACAACAGTGCTTCTCTCGTTGTGAAATGTAATTAAATGCTTTGCCCTATGGAACTTGATTTTTGTGTATCTGAGACTTATTAATAGAGTGCTAACTGCTAAGCGTACTGTTCATCTTGTTATGGGCATTGGAGTTTGAGTTTAAAAAAAATTCTTGAAAATATGTTCTGTGCAATTACTCATACCTCTCTTCCTGCAAACTTTCTCAGAAAAACTAGGTTCGGGGTGAAAATGAATTTATTTTCTCATTTGCTTTGTATGGTATGAAGGATTTGTAAAGCTTTGCTCAAAGTTGTGTGCATTTGTAAACACTATCATGATATTTTCAATTTTATGTGTAAATTTTGTCTTTGGTGACTGACATGAATGGAAGAGAATCTTTTCCATTAGGTTTAATTCCTCCCACCCCCTTGCCGCCGGGGTGTTTTGGATTTTTTTAGTTCAAAGGATTAGAGATATCTACGAAATGTATTTTATAAATAAGCAAATTTGTAAACTTTTTCTGAACTTCAGTGAAACATTTAGTTCACAAGCAAAATTTGGAGGTGTATTCTGTGTTTAATACTGTAGTTTGGATGTACAATTATTAGTGGCTTAAAAAAAAAAAAAGCAACACTGTTAAGTAAAATGTAGTTCCTAGCTTTGTGCTCCAAGTTGTCAAAGCATCAACCGTGAAAATTTCATTAGGGAAATTTTTATTCAAAATTTCAGAGAGTAATGTTCAGTGTAATTAGGTCAGTCTTAACCCACTGGATGAAAATCTAGGGCTGTATGTGGACATAAGCAAACATACCTTGGATAAAATAAGGATCCATGAAAGCCTTAATCAAACTCAAAGTCCTTTTTATTGGATTCTGTCATTGTGTACAGGTGTGGGTCAAATGTTTAAAAATAAATCCACTCATCAATTTCAAGAACACTTAATGAATAAAGAAACCATAAAGTTGCTGCTAGTTAAATCTGTAAAGAATTTCTAGCAGTGATCACTTTTAAAACTTACTTCCCACTCTTGCAAAATTACCACATTTAGTTTTACTGGCAGTTCTATAGTAGTCCAAGCGTTAGAAACCAAACACAATAAAATGATTCATTGCCAATATGGCCACAACATTGCCAGCAAATTACTGCCGTGGCATCATTCAGCAGAGGTTTTTGTTTATAAAGATGAAGTCTTGAATACTGTTCAATAAAATTGTCACAAAATAAAAGAGGCTGATGCTTTTAATGCTTTACACAAGAGTACTCTACTGAGCTATACCATCAGGTTTTTTGTTGTTGTTTTTTAACTCCTACATATATTTTGTGCCTTTGGAAAGGTGGATTTGGTGATCTTGGAGGTAACCATTGTTGCTATCCTTGTCTGCTAATGCTCAAGTGTGGAAAGAAGATACCTGGAACGGCAGGGAGGAAACTTGATTCTAGGTCAAATCTGTGGTATCCACCTTTTCAGACTTTTATCTTGTATGCTTTGCTAGCAAGCCACTTCGTTATGTGGACTCAGAAAGAACCAGAAACCAGGTGCTCCTTTTTACAGAAGGTGTCTTAAAGGAGGCTATGAATTGTCTTTTTAAAAAACTGATTACTTTAAGAAATGGGGAAAGAAATCTTCAGAATACATTGTCAATTGCACATACTTTTAATTAGAGCTTTTTCTTTTTTGTTTACTTACTCTTGCATTAGTATGTATTTTGAGGTGGGGAAGTGGGGAGAGGAATCAAAAATACTGCTGCTTTCTGACATTAATGTTCTGGTTTTGTCCCTTCCACATTTGTTCAACTGCTAAAAAAAAAAAAGTAGCAAATGAAAAGTTTCCATGAACTCCAGAGTCCTTTTAAAAAAAACCTGGATTGGAGTTGCCGAGAAATTAGTGGGCTATTCCTTTTAACCAAAGCTCTTGAAAAATATATATAACTTTTACCTCTATCATGAGTTTTTAGCCTGTATTTGAGTTTCAATACCCAGGTTGTTTTAGAGGGGTTTAGACTTAAACATACTTAATTCCAGGTGGTTGCTGAACTGTTCTAAAATTATGAAGGTTTGACTAAGCATTTGAAAAATCGCAGAGTGAAATCAGCTGCCTACAGATACCCAGAATGGCCTTTACCATCTTAAAAGGATAGACTGTATGCTAATAATATGTTTCGTTTTCTTGCTCAGGAGAAAACTCTCACTTTAATTCATTGTTGTCTGCTTTCCAGTGTTTTACAACAAGAAATGGTTTATCAGTTATGAGCATCGCCACCATTCTCCTTACCCCCCAAAAGTAGAGCTTTTATAGGATATGATAGAGTCCAAACTTACGACTAAAAAAATTGCTTGATTGCAGTTTTGTCTTTTTAGTATAAAATCTGATAGATCACATTGACTTTGACTTACTCTAAAATTTCTGGAATGAGTGTATTCTGGTGGTGGCACAGTTCTCTGATGCTGTAGTGACTTTTCTGGAAAAACCCTTCTGTCCGACAGTATGAGCAAGTTCATCTCTTAATGGTGCCTGTTCATGTAAATGTTAATTCTTTATTGTGCTGTTTCTGGGTTTATTCTTGTTGCCTTGTGCTACTTTGTGCCAGAGGATCTCACAAGCATCTTAGAATATGGCTCCTTTTCTGGATCAACATAACTAACAACGAGCAACTAAGGTGGCACTGCTTTTCTACATACTGCTCTACTACTGAAGAGTCCAGAAGGGGCAAAAAAGCCACTTGGTGAAAGCATTCTAGCCCCAGGGGCAGAAGGGCAGCACTCTAAAAATCTGGGGGCAGCAAATAGTGCTGGGGAAAATCTCATTAACTATTATCTTTTAAAGATTTTTTTTTTTAATTTATTCATTTGAGACACAAGAGATAGAGAGAGAGCATGAGCAGGGGGAGAGGCAGAGGGAGAGGGAGAAGCAGGCTCCCCGCCAAGCCAGGAGCCAGACGTGGGGCTTGATCCCAGGACCCTGGGATCGTGACCTGAGCCGAAGGCAGATGCTTAACCATCTGAGCCACCCAGGTGCCCCTAACCATTGTCTTTTAATTCTGAGAGGCCCAGGGACCTTCCCCTAGTGAAAATGTTGATAGTTAAGTCCTAGAGACTAAGGAAACACCAGTTGTGGGTTAAATGACACAGCAGACATTGGAATTGGCATCCCAGCTGTACCAGACAAGTGGATTCTGATTTTAGTAGCTTAATATTTGAGGTCATTTTTCCTGATGAGCCAGTGGCTTGCTATTTCATGTTGAGAGGAGGAGGAGGCGACTATTGGGGAAAACTAGAGCCATAACCAGCAAGAGAACATAATTCAATATGGACAGTCAGATATTGAAGAAGCATAAAACATTCCCAGGAGTGAGCTGTGCTATATTCAAACAGGCTGCCCCTTAGTGTTTCATTCCTTCTCCGTGCTGATGCTGCCAGTTTTTCCCTTTTCCCTGCTTATAATAGTAAGTCTGTTGGTAACCAGGGCTATGAGTTTCTCACTGCTATTTCTGTAGCCTAGCCGCCTAACTCGGAGTGGGGTGGGAGGAGGAATGTGAGCTCACTCACAGTTCTTGATTAGTGAATAAGATTTATCACTTAAGCATGTGTGTTACATGCCAGATGTAACGGCCACATTGTGCTACCGTAAGTCACCTGTTAGTCCTTGCAGAGTGGGGAAGGCTTAAGGGTAAAGATATTCAGCTGCTTAAGGGGTCTTAAATCATACTAACTGGTGCTGTTGCTGATTTCATTTTTCTTTTGTTCCACTTGGGAGTGAGTTAATGCTATCCTCCACTACACTCCCCCACATACTGTGTTGCTGTACAGAGATGGTTATGTCCTTTATACATAACTCCCTTCTGTGGTGTGGGCCTATGGGACCAGTAGGTCCCTCTGCTATAAATCTGGCTAAAGTGGAAAGACTAATGCAGCTCTTATTTTCTGAAGTAGATACTGCCAATTATCTTTACTTCTGTGACCACTGAATTGACAGGTTGGAATTGGAAATGTCTGTTGCCTCCAAGCTTTTAAGACAGTTTTACATGGATAATCAGCTTTGCCATAGCAGTAACCCATGTTAACTAAATTTTTTGAGCAGGGTTACACACCCAGCACTTCCACTCTGTGATAGAAAAGGAAGCAAAATAAGATGCTTGTTCTTAAAGACCTAAGGTTTTAAATTATACAAGTAAGTGCTCTGTTGTACTTGTGCATGTACGAGGTACACTCATACCCTACAGGAACTGGATGGATAAAGGTTTCCTGTATAGTTGCTGAACAAGTATGATGGAAGTATAATGGAAGCCTTGTGTGTAAGCTGAGGAAAGGCATGATCTCTAACCAAGATTCTTGGGGACACAATATGTTAATTTAGTAAAATGAGATGTTTAATAGTGAGGGAACACAGTGGCACTATCTAAAATGTGTTTGTCCTGGAAGCTCTTAAAATTGTTCTATAACAGTGAGCCTGAGTGGCGTGACTGAGCTGAATGGTGAGTAAGGCAGGCAGGTGAAGGTTGTACTGGGGGGGTGTCCTGACCTACCAGAGGGATAGAACGTTTTATCTTTTTAATAACCCTTTGATTAGCTGCCATATTACCACTTCTTACAAACAGATGGCCTAATAAGACATTCATAAACGCTTCAGAATTAAGTGAATTTCCCCATCCATTTCACCACTTACACAGTCCACTATCTGAAATTGGTTCTTTTCTAGTTTTGCATTGATTTTGATAGAGTTTCAGCTTTTCTATATTAAATGTCCACCTCTTTGTTCTTGTTTTTCTACACCGGTGCTGTTCCAAGAGAATTTTTTTTAAGATTTTATTTATTTATTTTGAGAGAGCTTGTGAGCGGGGCGGCGGCAGGGGTGGGGTGTGGAGGGCCAGAGAGAGAATCTCAAGTAGACTCCATGCTGAGCATGGAGCCCGAAGTGGGGCTCAATCTCATGACCCTGAGATCATGACCTGAGCTGAAGTCAAGAGTTGGATGCTTAACTGACTGAGCCACCCAGGCGCCCCACCACTGTAGCTACTATTAAATTTAAAAAGCCGGCTAGTGGCTGCTATATTGAACAGCACAATTCTAGATTCACAGAGCAACAGAAAATTTACTCTTCCATATCTGGTCTTTGGAGATCACCACGCTAAGCAACACTGACTAATAGAAATAAGAGTCACAAGTTATTTAAATTTTTCTAGAAGCTATGAAAAAGGCAAAAAAAACCCAAGTGAAATTAATAAATTTTAGCCCAGTATATCTGAAGTGTTACTATTTCAGTATATACTCTATAAAAATGACTGAGATTTTTTGGGTACTGTTTTCAATTTATACTTTACAGCACATTGTGATTTGAACTAAGCATATTTCAAGGGCTCAATATCCACTCGTGGGTAGGAGGCCATCCTTCTGGACAGTACAGATTTAGAATATGAGAAAAGTTATCCCGTCATTTCTCTTAGCTGTGTGGCCTCTTTCAGCTGTTTCTTTACTTTTGAGTATTTGAATTTTACTGCATTCCTCCTAACCTTTCCCATTCCTGTTATGTTGGCAGTTTTTTTGAAGCAGTTAACTTACCTCAGTTACCGTTTTCATGGACTACAGTTACCTTTTTCACTGGCTAAAGGGTCTTATATTGTGAAATTATTAATCCACCAGAATCCAGCAGCAGAACTAGAATTTTCCCCATCCCCCGCCGGCCCCCGCCCTGCACCCCATCTACAATGGCAAGTGGGCAAGTCATTGTGTGTCTGTAATGCAATTTCCTTATTAAAGCCCTCTCTTTTCTCAACTTCCCTAACGTACTAATTCTGAAGAACAACCCATTTTAAGACTTCCTATGTATCCCAAGTGGATTTACTCCTTGCACTATGAAATGGGTAGTTGGCACTGTGAACTTGCATAGTGCAAGAGGGACTTGCACTATGAACAATAGGTAGGTTTCTTTTCCCAAGGCTCTGGTCTGTTGCTTTTCACTTGGCTTCTTTATGCCATAGATCACATTGCACACTGGAAATGTACAAGCTCTTGCTGATGTCCTTGCCCAGGAGATGCTCAGGAAGGTGGTCCAGTACTGTTGTCTTATACACCCTACTAGGCTCTTTAAAGAAGGTAGATTAACGGACTGTAGATTCCAGCAGGGCAGACTGGGGGCAGAATTGGCTGCCTGGTAGATATTCTCTGAAAATTTTGATAAAAATCCCATTTTCCTCAGCTGAGCTCTACTTTGTGGAGTTTGTGCTTGTTATTTAAGGTTTATTCCTTTGAATATACTTAAATTCTAGTCCTATAAATGTGGTGGAGTCTAGCAGTTCCTCTATTCCTGCCCTGACGGACAAATAGGGGAAACATGTGGTGGATGCAGAATTCTTTTCCATCTAGTATAAGGCTAGTTGGTATAGGTCATGGGAAGAGGCCACATGAGCCTCACTGCTCATGTGGAGTGGCCAGGTGGATTTCAGATTGGATTACAAGGTGTGAGCTGTTGCTAAAATGGATGGAATAGAAATCATATTCTTAAGAGTTGTGGTTCATTAGTTACTGTATGTCCCAGGATTAGTCATTTCCTTTCTTTGGCCTCCGTGTTTTAGGTAAGATTAAACGAGATAATCTTATTATGCCCAGTTTCAAGGTTCTGTGATTCTTTGAACCCAGCCATTCTGTTTCTTTCTGGAAGTTTGTAGGTAATTTGAACCTTAAACTACAGAAAGTCCAGTGGAACTCAAAGTTTTGGTCTGGTTACTGCTCTGCTGCTTTTTCTGAGTTGGACAGTCTCACACTGCAGCTTGAGAATTTCATTAGGAGAGACAAGTAGGGAGGTTCTTCATTCCCACCAGTTAGGTCCTCTGGAGCAGGTAGACCAGAGGCATTTTTCTTGGTTGAACCAACAATTTTTCTTTCATTAGGAGAGAAAAGTAGGGAGGTTCTTCATTCCCACCAGTTAGGTCCTCTGGAGCAGGTAGACCAGAGGCATTTTCCTTGGTTGTAGATAATGGTACAAAGGATCCATTTATGAGCCCTGAGAAGAGGAGCAGTTAACACATTATTGGGCACTTACTCTGTTAGTGTCAGGGAGGGGATACTTTGCATGGTTGGCCTCATTTTATCCTCACAATAACCCTGTAAAATTGACACTATTATTATTTTCCCCACCTTACAAGTGGGGAAATCCAGGGGAAGAGAAGCAAAGTAACTTGCTCAAAGTCTCATTAATAGTAAGGGTAAACAGATTATTCAGTCATAGGCTGCCTGCCTGACTCCAAAGGCAGAGCCTCTCCTTCAACCATTGCCTGTCCCTGACTTCTGGGAGAAGATGTGGGAGGCCACTGGTGGCACTCTTCTGTCAGGGGTCTTGAGCCTGCTGGGGAAGGGATTCTGGTCTTGCTCCAGTACTCCGATGTTTATTTTGAAGTGGGCGGGTGGAGGCTTTGTGTAAACACATTCAGAGTCCTAGGGCAGAGAAGAACTCTCACTCCAATACTGTCCTGTCTTGCTTGAAGGCCATATGTTCTTCAGTTTCCTTCTTTCCCCATATCCAATTTGCTCCTCAAGCTAGGTTCTCTTTGAAGAGTTGGACACAGGTTGTTCAATTTTGGGTAAGTCTTCTGGGGATGTTGTAGTTTGACTTCCAAACTTTTTTGACCTTCACAGAATAAAACGGGATGGGACACCCTGTGACCATTTACTGTACCATATTTTCCTGCTTTTCACTTTTTGTGTGACATTCACATTTTAAGTGTTACAGAATTGCCAAATACAGTAGCAGTCAGACTACTTAGTATTAATGTGGATCTAAACTAAATTATTGCTTAAAATTTTAGTTTTAAACACAATTTTTGTAGCCTGTAGTCATATGTGTGAAAAAAGAATGTATAGTTTTATAGTAAGGATTTACATATTTGGTTCAGTTTGTGACCTGTGAGGACTGTCTTTGGGGCTGCTAATTTAAATTTGGGGAATCTCTGAGTTATAAAGGATAAGCAGGGGTAAAGAAAAACTTGTTGACCTTACCCATGTCCCTTGAGGCAGAGAAGGAAAGGAACAGTGGTGATGGGCGTAGTTCATCTTTTCAATCTGAAGGGAAAAGAGTATTCCATGGGTGGTGCTCTGCCCATTGGGAGCCTGTGGAGAATTTCCTGATTGGCTTTCAAGACTTGATCGAGCATCTGAGCTGCTCCAGCATGCCAAGGTAGGCAACAGGAGTGTGATCATGGCTTTGGTTTGTTGAAGCAGTGATCCTGGCACCCGGACATTGTGGTGCTGTATTCTTCCTCTTCAAAGCCTGGAAATGGGATTGAAGGCTGGTTCCTTTCTTTGTTAGGCTTTTGGGAAGGGAAGAGGGCAGTGTAATACCTGAGCATGAAAGACCAATGAGTTTCAGCTTGACTGGCACTGAATTGGATCCAGGAGAAGAGAGGTGTTCATGGATTTATGAAGACCAGAATTAGAATCTCCAAGGCAGGGGAGGGGATGCCCTAGAAAATGGACAAGTCACTCCCTTTTGGCAGAGTGGGTTTCCCTATCAACAACGGTAAACCAGCTAGCTGTGGGAAGGAAAGCTCTGATTTTATCATTTGCCCAATTTCTGTGGCTTAAAACTTTACCAGATTCATTTACAAAATTACTTAATATTTAACACTTGTCTCTTGTAAGACCATACAAGCCTGCTCCAGCACACTGCGGCAAGCCTCCCTCGAGGTGCTTTGAATTGCTATCATGTGCTTAGGTCTATGCTGTGTGAAATAGGAGATGCTGAAGCAGTGTTTGATCTAAGGATGTTATTTTACAGACAGGTGAGGAGCTGGAAAAATTGACAGTATAGTTGTGGTGTGGATTGAGTATAGTAGTCCAGAGTGAGAAATTGTTGAGTGATGGAGATATTGTGAAAAAGAGCATATGAGAGCTAGGCTTGAAGAATGATGATAATAGCTAACACTAATTGGTAATAATTGTTCTAGACTGTGCTAAGCACCTAGCATACATTATATGAATCTTCCAAGAAAAGATAATATCCCCCAGTTTTGAGGAACCTAAGGCTTAGTATTTTGCCTAAATTACATAGGTAGGACATTGTTTTGGTGGGGAGTAGTATCTCATTGTGGCTAGGGAGAGACATAAGGCCAGTATTTGGAGCCTGGTCACTTCACCACAGGACCCATACTCTTGCCCACTACATCACGTTGCTGTTGGATATAAGAAGGAAACTTCTTCAGGAGAGGAGGGTATGACTATAGTCCAAAGTTCTAGACGAGATAGGAGTCAGAATATTTGAGTTTTGGTCCTCATTTTGTTTAGCCATGTATGTGGCCTTAGCTAAATTACATTTTATCTCTCTGACTTGAATTGAGGGACTTGGATTTAAAGGATCACTCGGTTCCTTTTTATTTCTAACAATGGAGAAGAGCAGAGGAAAGCAACCTACAAGGGAGAGCAGAAGAGAACAAAGCTTCAAGTGTTAGAAAGCAAAGGCAGAAAAGATTGGTGCTATATACTTGGTTATTTCTGTTTGCAATTCCTGACTAGCACCAAATGGAAAGGTTGGGAGTGTTGAGAGCACATAGAAATAAGCTAGTCTTCTGTGTTGAGTGTTCCTAAAAAGCTCATTTCTCCCCTGATGGCTTCAGCAGCAGGCCAGGACTAGATTTGGGTCATTTCGAAGATTCTTGGATTATCATTCCTTTCCTAGCAGTAATTCAACAAATATTTACAAAGCACCTGCTATGTGTGAGTCACTAGAATGGGAGCAAGACATTGGAGCAAGACTGGTCCCTTCTCGTTGAATTTATAGTCTACTAGAGGTAATAGATAAACAAGTTGCACATTTTGATAGGTTTATGAGAAGCTGAGTTTTGTTGGTTTGGAGTCAGAGAAGGTCTGTGACTTTGTTGAACTGAGAATGGAAATGAAGAGACCAGTTAGGAGATTTACAGGCATCCAGGCAAGATATGCTGGTTCAGAAGAGAGCGCACACACACCTGGCAAATATTAGCCAGACCTCTCTTACAGAAATAAGTGAGAAAATTTCTGATACTTTTATTGACTCACTTAAATGTGGTATTTAATATGGTTTTGTAAAATTGGAGTAAAAGCCCCCATGAGATTAATTATGATGGCACTAGGTGAAAAGTAAATGAGTCTGGCTTAAGGATGTAGCTGTTCAAAAGATATAGGACAGAAGAGCGACATGAACTAGGAATTTTAGTTCTGTAAGATTTCTAAACAGAGGTAGGCTTGGAAATAAATTCTAAAGGAGATCAACAGGATTTGGGAGAGATTAATAATCCCAGGCATTAGATAATTTAAAGGGACTATGACTCAAAGGATAGAAAAGTACATATTGTAAAGATTTGCTTATAAAGAATTGCTAATTCCAATGAGAAGCAAAGCAAGGAGATTGGGAATAAAACTGGTAGCACAGGAAGTTCTGGTCTCTTAGAAATGGAATCCAGTCCCATATGCACATGTAGGCCCACAACATTCTGGTTGGGGTTTTAGTCTGGTCCAAGAAGAAACTGAGAAAGGATAGAACAGGACCAATTGTGGGGAAAGAGGGTAGACATGGTAATAGACTAGGAAAGAATGCTCTTGTCTACTAGAAATTGAGGCCTAGCACCAGAAGAAGCACCTGGCCCACTGCCCGTATGTCTTCCCCAGATCAAAAGCCTCTCTGTCTGGGATCTTCTGAGAAGTCAGAGTGAGGGAAAAGGCAGCAGCTCCCGTTGTTGCCTGTAACCTCACCACCACAGATAATTACTGGTAATACTTTTGTAGTTCTCAACAAAGTGTCAAGGATAAACCCAGAGTTCTCCACTTTGAGTCCTCCACTTAAATTTTTCCCCAGCATTTTATTGTGAAAACTTTGTACAGAAAAGTTGAAAAAATTATACAGGAAATAGATTCTACAATTTAAATGCTTCTATATTTGTTTTACCACATAACCATCCATTTTATTTTTTTGGTGCATTTCAAGAAATTGCAAACATCACACTTCACCCATAAATATTTCAACATGTCTTGCGTTCATTATTTCGTACAGGCTTGTTGGGCAGGGGGAGGTGGTAACATTTACATACAATAAGATGTATACACCTTAAGTGTGCCGTTAGATGAAAATGAAAAATGCATTCATGACTCACATTCCTATCAAGATAAGGAACTTTTCCATTCCCCCTAGAGTTATCTCCTGTTGCTTCTCAGTTGATACCTGCCCCTCCCCTGGGGGACATGGGAGGGACAACCAGTATTCTGAATTTTTTTCACTGTAGATTAGTTTTGCCTGTCTTAAAACTTTGTAAGTGGAATCTGTGTATTTTATGCTTCAGATTCATCCATGTTGCAGGTATTAATAGTTTGTTTCTTTTTGTTACCAAGCAGTTTTCTAATACATGTATAAACATGATGGTTTATTCGTTCTCATATTGATGGACACTTGAGCTGTTTCAAATTTTTGGCTATTATGAATAAAGCTGCTGTGAACATTCTTGTACAAATCTTTTTGTGGACATAATGTTTTCTTTTGGATAAAAATCTAGGAGTGGAATTGCTCTTGGACTAGATGTGTGTTTGGTTTTCTAATAAGCTGCCAGACAGTTTCCAAAGTGGTATATTTAATGCTTTCACTGACAATGTATGAGATTTCCATGCCCTTGCCAATATTTGGCATTGTCAGTTTTTTTACTTTTAGCCATTGTGGTGGGTGTGTGATAGTATCTTGTGGTTTTAATTTGCATTTCCCTGATGACTAGTGCTATTGATCACTCTTCCTTTGTATATTTTTAATTCATCTATTTTCTTTTATGAAGTATCTGATCAAAATTTTTTTGCCCATTTTAAATTTGTCACTTAATATTGAGTTCCAGGAGTCCTGAATTTAAATTTTAAAGCTCAGTTGTATAAGATAAGGATAGAGAAGACTTACTGCTGGGACAGTATTTCAAATGGAAAAGGCCTCAAAGTTTGAGTTGAGCAAAAGCAAATGTTACCATTTATTCAGCAAATGGTTATGGCTACTAACTACATACTAAGCACTGATACTAGGGATACAGAAATAATACCCAGCCCTAGTTCCAAGGAGACCATAGATTATGAGGGTAGACAGACAAAAGTCAAAATTTTGATATGGCAGTTTCAATGTTATATCACTAATATTTAATTTACTGAGTACCTGCTATTGGGTAGGTACTGTTATAGATACTGGACATAGAGAGATTAGGCAAACCAGACATGGTTCCTACTCTAATACAGCTTATTTTCTCAGGTGTCTATGGATGAAGACAGTGCAGAAGCTCTGATACAGGGAATGAGATTGATGTTGTGTGTATGTGGGTCAGAAATGAAACCTGGCTGGAACATACTTGTGTGGCTAGGTGATTAGTTAAGTGTCAGGTCTTTCAGGGAAGGCCTTGTAGACCACAGTAAGAACTTTGGACTTTTGAGTGTTTGGGGATGCCATCCCAGAGTTTTAAACAGAGAAATGGTATGGTCTAGTTTCTGTTTGGCTAATAAACACAGAAGTGTGTCTGTGTGTGTTTGAAGGAAGATGATGAGGAAACCATGTAATCATCTAGAGGAGAAACAATAAATTTTACTTGGGGATTGTGGGCGAGGCTTCATAAAGCAATAATATAGCAGAACTTTGGATGACAAGGCATTTGTTAGACAGGAAAGTCAAAGGTATCAGCGTGTGTATGTTCCAGGAACCAGAAATAGCTTTGGATGACTAGTTGGTTGGGTGGTGGAATAGCAGGAGGTAGAGCAGACTGGGAAGGGCTTTGAAGGCTGAGTTAGGGATGCAGGGTCACCATATTACACAACTACTGAATTCTGTGCAGATGTACTCTGGAGTTGTGCCACAAGGTGGCCTTGCTGGGGAGTTTGGCTCTGAACCTAAGGGCCATGGGCATCTGTGCAGGACTTCTAGTTAAGGTAGAAACTCTGGAAGCTGACACAAGGAAGACTAGCTGAGGCATTGTTAAGGAGGAGAAGCCAGTGAGGAGGCAAGAGACATTGAGCCCTGAAGTTAGATAGGGGTTGTTAAACCAGAGGGCTTTGAATAGTCAAGAGGACTTGAGTTGTGGATTGGGGAAAAAAGCTAATGAAGTCCTTTAAAAAACACAAAATAAACTATAAAATATTGAAATAATACAGAAGTATATAGAGATTATAAAATCCTCACCTTCATTCCCCTTCCCTGAGGTGTACCTCTGAGTTGTAGTTTTTGGTGTGCCTTCCATTTTTCTGTATATTTATTTTGTGTACCTATTCAAATCTATTGTATATACACATACAGTTGAAGTTTAAAATGGAGTCATACTTTTCTTACCATTTTTTGTGACTTTATTTTTTCATATAATACCAATATAATATAGTTCTGCCTTGTATTTTACCTGCTGCTCAGCATTCCATTGTTTTAATGTACCATAATTTACTTAGTACCCAATAGATAGACCTTTAAGTGTTCTCAGGTGTTTTACTGGTTTCAGCAATAATGAAATGAACATTCTTCGTTTGTTTCTGTTCTGTGCAAACACTGCCTCAGAGAACATGTGAAGTGAGAAGCATGGAGTCAGATTGTGACTTGGGGAAGTTGTGGTCCCACTCCTTTGGGAGTATGTGTTTTTCTCTGGATCTGTTCGTAGGGAACTTCCAAAGGGGGGATGGTCAGGCAGGTCAGAGTCTACAAGCCACATTCTAGGGGCAACATTGAAAAGAACTGGGGCTCTTTGTCCAGATTTTAGCTGGGGATTTCACTGCTTCCAAGTATCAGATGGGTTCTCAGAGGGAGATGGAATAAGGCTTTCC